CCAGCAAAAGGACGGGAGGAAGCGCGTCAGGAATTGCAGACGCGAGAGGGTGGGAAATCGTGGAGGGCGCGTGAAACTGAGCCGTGGACTCCTGGGAAATGGAGTCCGCGGCACTGATGAGGGAAACTGAAAGTTGAGCCGCGGTCACTCAGAAGTGTGGAGAGACCGCGTCCGCAACTATGAAAAAAAATAAAAATCGCGGAGATAAACCTGGTGCGATTTAAAGGGGAAACATGTGAAAGATTTGACACTGTACAAAAAACACAATTATGAATCCTACATGTTTGGGGACAATATGTGTAGTAAGGATAATTGTCACAGAAAAAAAATTGTGAGAATGTATGCTAATCAGGAGATATCAATTAGAAAAAATATTTAAATGATAATAAGGATATGGTGCCAAAATTTTTATTAAAAGGCAAGCAGCAAAGAAAGAGGATACGGGAGGAGTATGATGACATTATATAATACTGTTATACACTCTGGTTGGTTGAATTATTTTACATTATTGTTAACTACTTCTTTGCTGCTGGGAGGTTCAGTAAAGAAAGATAAAGCAAATATTCGCCTCCTGTCTTGGCATAAAATTGTGATTTTAGTGTCTAACTCCAACACAGAGCTTCCATCTGGCCTGGAGGCAGGGAGCGACATAGTGCATAGCAGACCCCACGTAAGGAGCCAATCCATTTTAAAATGGTGGGACTACTAACAATGGCGAGGCGCTGTAGCACTCCTGGTACCATAACTACTGCAAATAAAGGACCCATTTACTGGAATCTTTACTAGAGAGATATGCATGTCTTGTCTTTGTCAGCAGGGAATCTTAATTTTAAAACTATTAAATGGAGACATTGTGAGGTGTATCAGAGCCCTTTATTCAGTCTGTTTGTGGTAGCCTTCGAGGTGGCTTGAGGCCACAGCTCACTGACTGAAACACACTGTCCTAGACCTAGAGTAAATCCAAACTCTGCGCATGCGCGCTCTGTCAGACAATGCCAAGCCGGGCAAACTCTGCGCATGCGCACGCTGTCAGACCGGGCCAAGCAGGGCAAGCTCTGCGCATGCGCACTGTCATTCCCTTTCTTCATTCCCGCCCGTCAATCAGGCGCATCCTATCCCAGCAGCGCGCGGGTCACGGCTGGAACGTCAGAGAAGGCGGGGACTGTTTGTAGACATGAAAGCGCCTCTCTCGTGACGTCATGCTCATTGTCTTTTCCCCCCCCCCCCAACGTGCTAGAACCCCGCCCCTCACAAGCCACGGCAGGGAGGAGCTTCTGAAAAGCCCCTCTCCTCCTCCTAACACGACAGAAGAAAGCCTGACGTAGAAAGCGGACAAGGGGATGGGCGGGGCCTTGTATGTGATCGGCAGCCCTGTGCGCCAATAGCGTGCCGTGCTGCCTTCCGCTCAGCCAATGGCGCCGCGAGTTTTGCTGCTGGGGGCGGGGCGGCTAGCCGTGGCGAGGCTGAGGTTGGCCGGTTGTGTGCGCGGCGGGGGTCTGTGTGAGGATCTTTCCAGCGGAGGAAAATAATAATAAAAATCCCGTAATCACCGGGCGGAGAGCGCGCGAAGGGCCCCTCCCTCACTGGCCGCCGGATGAGCGGGGTCTCCCCCTCCATTTTGAATCGGGGTCGTTGCTGCGTCTCTCCCCCCTCCGGCCGTGTAGGCCTCACCGGGCTGAGGATCCCGCCAGCAGCGCGGCCTACAGGGGGTGAAGGAAGAGGCCGCCAGCCCCCCCTCACCCGTCAACCCCGGGCCGGAGAACGCAGGAACCTCCTCTGCCCAGCCCCCCTTCCAGGTAACCACCACCTCCTAAATCACCTCACAGGACTGCATGCCGGGGCCACCAGCACACCACCAGGGACCCACCAGCACACCACCAGGGACCCACCAGCACACCACCAGGGACCCACCAGCACACCAGCAGGGGCCCACCAGCAGGGGCCCACCAGCAGGGACACACCACCAGGGGCCCACCACCAGCACACCACCAGGGGCCCACCAGCAGGGACACACCACCAGGGGCCCACCAGCAGGGACCCACCAGCAGGGGCCCACCAGCACACCACCAGGGACCCACCAGCACACCAGGGACCCAACAACACCAGGGTCCCACCAACAGACATACCCCGCCAGGCTGCCAGCCTAGCACAACCTAACACAGCTGCCAGCCTAGCACAACCTAACACAGCCCCCAGCTGGCAGCCTAGCACAGCCCCCAGCTGGCAGCCTAGCACAGCCCCCAGCTGGCAGCCTAGCACAGCCCCCAGCTGGCAGCCTAGCACAGCCCCCAGCTGGCAGCCTAGCACAGCCCCCAGCTGGCAGCCTAGCACAACCTAGCACAGCCCCCAGCTGCCAACCCCGGCACGGCCCCCAGCTGCTGCAGAACTACTCCATGGCTGGCAGAACATCATGGGAGTTGTAGTTCCGCAGCAGACAAGGTTTTACTTCCTGCCAGCACCTGCTGTAGCATGTTAGAGTGTAAGCTCTTTGGGCCATTGTAAACATGAGGCAGGAGCTCCTGGTTGAGGCTAATTGTAACTCAACTACATTTCCCATGATCCTACAATATCATTTTAGAACAGTGTTGAATTGTGCATTACTAAAGCATAGATTATATGATCTGACTAGTTGGCTTTCTTCAAATATCACTCTCATCCACTATTAGATTGCGAGCTCTGTGGGGCAAAGAGTAAGCTTCCATTTTTTGCTTTGATTCTGACTTTTGGTTAATCATTTCTTCTTCTGCTGTTTTAAGACAGTGTCGTGTCTGAGCATCATGACTCTTTTTATAATATTAATTTTCCTTACAATATTCAAGTCTCCTTTCAAAACCTGAAAGAATACAAAGCAGGGATGTCAATATAATACATTAAACATACAAACGGAGACTACAGTTAATACTAATGGATCGTAAGTGTTGTTAAAAAAAAAAAAAAAAATACCCGGAGATATGCAAGTCTCCATAAGCTGGATGAGCATTGTAGGATCTGTAAAAAAGTTTTGCTCTTTTTCTGCTCCTGAAGTAATTAGTTTATATATAAGGTGTAGACATTTTTATTTTTTTTTAAAACCAGCAGCCAGATGGACATACTTTGGAGCCTATCTGGCATTGTTGGAGACCAATATAGATGTATATCTTTGGGGCTCGTTGTAGCAGTACTAATAGTCTTTGTAAGCCCTGCTCTAAAATGTTGTATTACCCGTTATATTTTGTGGGTATATGGTGGTTTAGCTGTGCCCATAGCTTGCCTGATTGTAACTTGTTCCATTGTATCCCCCCTCCCCCAGCAATGTTTACATTCCTGGATATCCCCTCCCCCCTGGGTTAGAGAACTTATTGCCAGTAAATGGTGAAGAGATCAGGCCTATAATTCTTTTTCTCTCTTTCTCTCAATCAATGAGACCGATATTCTTGAGCTTGTATTTTTAGTCTAGATCAGTTTCATGGAATTATAGTTCTTTTCAGCTGTCATCAAACTGCAACTCCCATAAAGCCTTGACATGTAAGCCTGGCAAGGTTCATGGGTGGTGTTGCCAAAGAACTTGGTATTTTCTGTCTGGTAATTCTCTAAATTCTACAGGCATTTCACAAGAATTTCCCATCGCAAACTCAGGTTGAGCGCTGCAGTGCCTTCTGAAACAAAAACTGCAAATAAAGCTATAGTATTTTGTCTTTTTTAACCTTTTAATTGCCAAAGATGTTGGAATACTGAACAAAATTTATTGATAGAACCTGTCCACTGTAAATTGTGAAGTTCCTCCCTGTTTTGCAAATCTGACATTATGGCATGATATATTCCACTATATGTATTCTATTTTTTGTTGCTGACAAATGTTAACAAATATATTTATACTTTTGTAAACTAAAACTTGAAAAATTCCCTAGAATTTAGGAGCCAGGAAAAACGTTAAAGGACCACTATAGTGCCAGGAAAACATACTCGTTTTCCTGGCACTATAGTGCTCTGAGGGTGCCCCCACCCTCAGGGACCCCCTCCCGCCCGGCTCTGGAAAGGGGAAAAGGGGTCAAGCTTACCTTTTTTCCAGCGCTGGGTGGGGAGCTCTCCGCCTCCGATCCGCCCCGTCGGCTGAATGCGCACGCGCGGCAAGAGCTGCGCGCGCATTCAGCCGGTCACATAGGAAAGCATCAATGCTTTCCTATGGACGCTGGCGTGCTCTCACTGTGAAAATCACAGTGAGAAGCACGCAAGCGCCTCTAGCGGCTGTCAATGAGACAGCCGCTAGAGGCTTTGGGGGAAGGCTTAACCCATTGATAAATATAGCAGTTTCTCTGAAACTATGTTTATAAAAAAAATGGGTTAACCCTAGCTGGACCTGGCACCCAGACCACATCATTAAGCTGAAGTGGTCTGGGTGCCTAGAGTGGTCCTTTAATTGGCAACACACATTCCTAATTAAAGGAACATTCTATGCACCAGCACATTTTTTTATAGCATTGTATAGTTTTGCCCTAATTGCCTTTTTGCATGCTTAATGTTATATTGTTTTTGCAGAAAACAAATTGGGGTGTTCTGCATATACAGTCATATCTCCCCTATGTTGATGGTTACTGTACCTGCATTTGTGATGTCTACTTATTTTCAGTCTGTTCTTCCTAAGCAAAGATTTGAAGGAGTTTTCTTTCATCTAATAGCTCTCATAGGTAGAAAGCTGATAACAAAATTAAGTCACAGAAAACCATATCTGAGCAGATCAGAGACTGTGCACAGACTGCTTTAAAAATTACAATATTAATCAGCCTCTACAGAGCTCAGAATTTCCACTCACTAACCATTGGTGTAGAAATTCACCCCTGGTGCCATGGACCCTTTAGACTCACAGTGGTGAGTAACTTTTAGGCATGGCTGGTAGTGTAAGACTTGAAATCTTGAGCTACTACATACTATGGAAACTAATGGGTAGTTCAAGATCTGTGTTTTGATTGAAACTACGATGCAAATTGATGTATAGATTGACAGTCTAGTATTGAGGCTCTCCAAAGAGAGTTGGATCCCGATCTGCACTTTATTTCTTGTAGTTCTTTGTTAACCACGTTCAACAGTTCAGACTCCATAGGCAATATTTAGAGGCTCGTGGTTTGAGCAGAACTGATTTGTATAGGGATTTGCACACAAAGGTATTTGAAAAGTGCAAATAATTGATTTTAAATTTGATATATATATATATCATATATGCAAAAAGGTGTCATTTCCACATTTAGTGGGAAGGAGCACTATAGGGTTAGGATACAAATATGTATTCCTAATGCTATGGTGCCCTGGTGGCTGTTTGGGCACCCACCTATAGGGAGGAAAAAAAGCAGTTTCTCCCTCCACGCTGCTGTTATGCTTCCTTGGATGAGGTCATACTTTCCCATAGGCGAACATTGGGAGTCTCCTGCACATGTCTGGCAAAATGCCATACTGCGCCAATGAGAAAATGCCTCTAGTGGCTGCCTGCAGAAATGAAACCCTACAATAAAAAAAAATCGCCGTTCTGCCTAATAGCAATGTTTTTAGTTATGTGGTTTAAATGGGGATGGGGGATTGGGGCTGATGGGGATACATAGCAATTAGACAATATCATTGACATGTAATAGTCTGTGTGCCTATAGTATACTCGTAATCAAAATCATACATCAGTCACTTGCACGTGCTGTATGCACACATGTGACTAGTTGTGCACTCACCTATACCTTCAAACATACTTTGCAAGAACCATTTTTGCAAAGACTGACTGTTTTATATTGCAGTCTTCAAAAGTAAAGTAACTGCACCCAGACCACTTCATTGAAAGAAGTGGTCTGGGTATCTTTGGTGTCCATTTAACCTGTGATTAGGACCCCTAATAAATCCCTATGCTTTCAGCAGGTTCTATTTGTTGAAAGTGTTAGTACTGCCTTCCACAGTGCACCAGAGACCCTTGAAACTGGAAAAGACACTAAGGTGTTTCTTGATCAATTTATGAGTTGATTATTCGTAGGTATCGCTATATTGCTAATGATTTCACACAGTGGATCATTATATTTTTATAATGATTGACATGCTTGGACAGTCACCAAAATATCCCAGGAGAACAAGTGATTGTCTCAAGACATCATTGTTTGGAGATCTCACCATGCAAGCAGCAATCTTAATGCAAATGTTGGTTCTGACAGCTCCGAGAACATAGGTGTCCGTATCAGAACTTTACTGACCTGTGAAAACTCTCCTAGACCGACTGCATGTCGGGAAATGCTGGCATTGTTTGTGTCTGCTCTCCTGCGTCCCTGTTCACCCTCAGCAATTAGCATAGATTATAGTCTTGCCCATTTCCTTCCCATTGTATCCATCTTTCATGAAACGTAACCTTTAACTTATATTATTTTTATTTTAAGGACGTAAGTGTTCCTCCAGTAAGAGGGAAGATTATTTAAATGTAATTGTATATAAAAACAATTAAGGAGATCCAAGTCTGTTTATCACTCACAGTAATTGTCAGTGACAGGGTGACTTGGAGCATGTATAGTTACTGTGCTATTTCCCTGAATCCACAGCAACATCCCTTTTTTTTTATAATGGTTTTATTTTTTTATTTATAAACAATAAATTCCTTAGTGTTAGGTGGACTAACAGACATGTATTTGCAATAAGACGCAGGGGAACAGAGGGTGTTGAGGGCCTTGCTCAGACGAGCTTACATGTACCTAATCTATACTTGAAGTGGTTGTAAGAGAGAGGTTTAGGGGTAAGTCTGTATATAAAGAATACACACAAAATGAAACTTTAACAATTCTCTAAAACCACATAATATGCAAAAGTGACACAGATGGCTAGTTAAAGTGTCTCACCTCAAACTTAATCAAATAGATCAGAAATATATAGAAAATAAGAACAGATTCTGGAAGAGGAACAGTAGGAGACAGGTAAGCTTGAGGTGACAGCCACTTTAGGTAATTCAGTTAAATGCATCATACATCTACCAACTGCCTATCTGAAAGCTGGGACATAAGCAGAATAACCTACTCCGAACGTTTCGCCATAAATCCTTTTTCAGGGGACTAGCATGTAATCGGTGTTTACATACAATACAAATGTAATATGGTGGCCAAACATGAGACCTTTTGCAATGTCGCAATTTTGTCCCTGTAATTTCACCTAAATGAGCAAAGGTTAAAAAAGTACATTTGTATTTGGGGTCCATGTGGGAGGGATCTAGCAGAACACAGATTTTAGTAATTTCTGCCTTCCTTTATGTATATGACCTGTAAGTGTGAATATAGTAGGACATTGAAATGTTCTTAAAAAAAAAAAAAAAAATGAGAACAAATGGATGAATCCATTTTCACATATTTTCTTTAGTTCCTCAATAGATGTCTTATTATAAGTCAACATGAGTGTGCTCCTCCCCCCCTTAATTTTTAGCATTCTAAATGAGTATTTATATATGTTTGGTATAAAAAGAAAGCCAAATATTTTAAAAACCAATGTATAATACACGTTTTTGCACTATATGAGTGCGAAGTAATGTACAAATGAACGAAGACAGCACAAAACTAAAAATGTATCTTGTACTTGAGTTGCATAACCAACCCTTGTCATAAAGGGGACAACGTGCTTACTGGAACAAATGCATGTACATGGGTTAAATACCCATTGAATCAACAATAGTAGCTGCAGGACTCAGTGTGAATGGCAACAATGTGTAGAAATATGTATCAACTCGTTATTACTTTACTCCCCATATGAGGGCAAGAAGAAAAAACGATAACTTAAAAGTTAATCTAGTAAGGGTTTTTGATACTTTGTAAAAAAACAAAAAACAATACATTTAAAGATCACTAGGAAGAATAGCCATATAGTAATCCTACTGAAGTAGAATACAGAGAACCATGTCATTTATAAAGTGTAGCTGACAGTTGTCTTGTGTAAAAAAAAGATTTTATTAACACATACTGTCTAACATGCACACATAAAAATGAATGACAGATACCCCAATTGAGGAGAGCAATGTTCGTTTGGTATACAGTCTGAGGCTACAAAATGGAATATCAATCTCTCACCGGCCGGACGAGATCGAGTGTAGACCAGAATTCTATTATTGTATTTATTTACCAGTAATAAAGGGTTTAAAATATGCAATTAGAATAGATACTATTTAAGAAGAAGAGAGAACCAAGAACGCCATCCTCTGAAGAAGTGATCGTATGATCATAGAACAGAATTCTATTATTGTATTTATTTACCAGTAATAAAGGGTTAAAATATGCAATTAGAATATACTATTTAAGAAGAGAACCAAGAACGCCATCCTCTGATGAAGTGATCGTATGATTACGAAACGCGTAAGGCGGCATTCTACACTGGTCCCCAGGAGAGCAAGCTGGAACGCATCCGAAGCCGCAGTGGAACGCACGCGTCTGACATCCAGTTTTTGACACCGCACGAGGAGGTCTACACTCGATCTCGTCCGGCCGGTGAGAGATTGATATTCCATTTTGTAGCCTCAGACTGTATACCAAGCGAACATTGCTCTCCTCAATTGGGGTATCTGTCATTCATTTTTATGTGTGCATGTTAGACAGTATGTGTTAATAAAATCTTTTTTACACAAGATAACTGTCAGCTACATTTTATAAATGACATGGTTCTCTGTATTCTACTTCAGTAGGATTACTATATGGCTATTCTTCCTAGTGATCTTTAAATGTATTGTTTTTTTTTTTTTTTTACAAAGTATCAAAAACCCTTACTAGACTAACTTTTCAGTTATCGTTTTTTCTTCTTGCGAGGCCTCATATGGGGAGTAAAGTAATAACGAGCTGATACATATTTCTACACATTGTTGCCAATATACAACATTTCTATCATTCACACTGAGTCCTGCAGCTACTATTGTTGATCCAATAGGTATTTAACCCATATATCCTTTAACCGTAGGTGGCGGTCATTTCTTGCAGTGACATAGTGTTTTTGATAACCATTTTTCAGGTCTCATTGCACTACCTTTATAGCTATACACCAGGGTATACTGGTGTTTACCTATTAGGTTTTTTAAATGCATGTACATGTTTACAAAATTAAAGGTATTTTAAATAGCACAAAGTGGTTTTTGCTATAGTTAATCTGTTAATAGATTCAGTAAGTGTAAAATCTTATTTTGTCTCCCAAGAATATATCGGTCTTTAATACAGTAAAGCATCACAATTATGTGCTGCCTGATTTTATCTTGCTGCCTCAGTTGAGTCTATTAGTTTTTTCAGATAAAACAGGAGTCTGTAGACAAGGGTTTTTATCCCCAAGAAGACATGTTTAAAAGAAAGCTGTTTTTTTAAAAAAAGTTTTTTTGCATTGTGGCAAAGAAAGCCTTGTAAGTGGACTTGAGGGAATCAACGAATTTGCATGAATATATCCCATTCCAGTAAACTGAAGTAACAAATCACAGGGTGGGACAAAATTTATAGTAGGATTTGACAGGTAAATGACTTGTTAGTAGTTTTATTTTTGTTGTTGTAACTACATAGAACTGAATCTTGGGAGATTCATCTTGGGTAATTTCGTGAAGGAACAGCGAATTAGCCAGAGAAAACAATGAATTTAATACATCAACTGATCGTGTCTGACGAAACTCATTTTTATTTAAATGGCTTAGTCAATTAACCAAACTGTCATTTCTGTGGTACAAATCTCTATACGTTAAGCATTCAGTGTATATAATCATTAAAATTAATTCATTAATAGAAAATAAAAAAAGCTAGTGACTCCTGAAACACTATTCTGAATTTTTTGCCCACCATGTATACCCATACCTGTTCTATTTCAAAGTATAGCTGCTGCTTTAAATGTGAAAAAGTGATTCTATAGAGCAGGGTTAGGCAACCTTTTAGCAGCGCTGTGCCAATATAGGATTGTGATGTCCCGTATCGTATTGGTCCTATTTTTTTAAATTGAACCGTGTATGCTGCCGTATTCTGCTTGTTATTTTTATTGAAATTGCTTTGTATCGTTGTATTTGTGCGTATATAAGCTATTATATTGTATATGTTCATTAGTAGTTTATGGTATTGTGTATGATACACTTGAATGTGGGCTGTGTATGAGGGCTGCTTGTGGAATTGTGTGTGTGTGTGGGGATGGATATGTCACATTGTGTGTTTGGTAGTGTGTGGGGGCTGTTTGGGGTATTGCATGTGAGAGGCTGCATGTGGGATTGTGTGCATGTATGTAGATTGTTAGTGGTGTTGCGTTTGTGGGGATTGTGTGTATGTTTGTGTGTGGGCTGTTCGTATTATTTGTATGAGGGGAGAGTTATTCTGCAGCTCTGTGTATATCTAGCAGTGTGGGTGGCTTCCCTGGGTTCCAGTGGGGACCAGGCTGGCCAGGTACAGGTCAAGGACAGGAGCTGCAACAGCAGCTGTGGGCTGCTCTACTACAGTGTGGATTCCCATTCACAAGTGCTTGGAGGAAGTGATCTGAGATCACTTACTCTACATTCTGCAATGCATAAATTGAGGATTGTCCTTCACCACATTTTCGTATTAGCAGATATCTGAAGTTTCACTGAGACTCCTGATAGGCCAGAGCCTGTTTGGCTCTAACAGCCTTGAGTGCCGTGGAAAGACACCTTGAGTGCCGTGCATGGCACTAGTGCCGTAGGTTGCCTACCCCTGCTATAGAGCATACAAAAAAGCATTTTTGTATGATGTTTGAGAGTCTCACACAATTACCGCCTCATTCCCTATATATTTTACAAATAGCTGCAGCTCTCTGTTAACTTTTAGCCATCACTTCCAAATTTCCCCCCTGCTATCTCTTGTCTCAAATTCCCATTATATGCTTTAGATTGTAAGCTCACGGGCTATCTAGCTAAGCACTTTGTTTAAAAGAGCTTCAATAGCTAGATCTAAGCTTAGACAGGTTCCTCTTCACCTTTTGTATAGGCCTGTGTATATTGTATGTTCTCCCCTAATTGTACAGTGCTGCGGAATTGGTTGGCGCTTTATAAATACCAGTAATAAATAAAATAAAATAAAAAAAAATTCTGGAAAGGAACATTATAGGCACCCAGTGGTCTTGGTGCCTTGCCCTGTTGTTTTAACCCTGCAAGTGAAAACATTGGCATTCTGCAGGAACAGCAATGTTTACATTGAAAAGTTGAAATACCTCAGGGGTAGGCAACCTTCAGTACTCCAGATGTTGTGCACTATGTTTCCCATGATGCTTTGCCAGCATTATGGCTGTCAGAGCATCATTGGAGATGCAGTCTGTAACATTTGGAGTGCCAAAGATTGGCTACCCCTGCTCTAGTACATGTTATACTATACTGCAGAAACTGCATTGTGAAACTATTTCAATCAGATGGTCCATTTGATTGGCGCATAGCCGCCTTTTGCTGCGAATGCACAGTAGTCTCCCAGTTCTTTCTTAGTTAATGATCTAAGCCATGGAGGCATGCTAGCAGTGAGGGTTGAAAGGTAAGTGTTTATCACCATTCAAGCCTTCACATGGCAGGGAAATCCTACTATAGATAAATTAAAACTATAACGTTTGGAATCCATGTTTGTTTTCCTTTAAGATAACATATTACTTTGTCAGAGGTAACCTAATGGCAGAACTTCAGATGATGTACAACTGCAATAGTCTGACGTTTGGCTAACTCCTGCTTTACATTCTGTGTATAGACTTAATCCCTTACAGATCACAGGGTCCTGTCTGAGCTCCACAAGCACTTTGGAATATTGCAAAGTGCATGATGCTTAGAGCTCCATCTGCCTACTCTCTTTTCTGATATTAGGCTTTAGTGCTGCCATTAAAAGATTGCCCATTAGGGTTGAATAGAGAAGTCTCTCTTCCAGTAAGGCTACTATGTTTAAAGAACATTTCTAAACATTCTGCGTGATGTTTGGACCTGCTGTTTGGGGATAAACTGGTTATCCCATAACCATCTAATGGACATGGGGGTTATATGATATTAGTCACCTTACACCAGAATAAGATGCTTCTGATTGGAATATACAAATGTAGCAGGGGTTGGCAACTTATGGCATTTGAGGGGTCTTTGCATGGCAGACTAGGCTGCCAGAAAGAGTCTGGAAGATCGGAGGGATATCACCCTAAACTGGCCTGACAGAGGTCCCAGTAGGACTTAATCAGTTACCTGCTAGTGCCTGTTTGCAGCCTGCAATTAACTCATGGTAACTCTTGGAGGTAGTTATCTCCGACCACTTCCTCCCAGTGCTTGTGAAGAAGAAACCACACTGTCTGCTGAAGCGCCTACACTTGCCATGTGCCTAGTTAGCCTGGTCCTCACATTACCCCAGGGAAACTTCCTAATGCTGTTAAATGGTAGGCACAAAGGATGGCTAAAAATAACAGCACTGTCAATGTGTGGTAGTGGTTGTTAGTGTGTTTATTGCAATTTGTAGTAGAGTGAATGTGTGTGTGTTTTAGAATTGTCTGTTTACCAGTGTGGTAATGGGTAACTGTATGCCCTGGTAGTGTGTATTGGAGGGGTTACCACATATACCACAATAATGTAAACTGCTTACACACATACGTGTTAGAACACAGCCCACGTATGCACAAATACAACCCCACAAAGTAGCTGCAGCACGCATGCATAAAGCAATACACACAAGTAATTAAAATAAAATAAAACACCCTCTGGATTTTACATTTTTATTTTTTACATAGTGATATGGATAGTAATGTATACATTCAAGTGGTTATAGTGCCGAGTCTTTGGTTGCCTTTTTTCCATTTGGTGTTAACGTGTTTTTTTTTTTGTTTTTTTTTAAACTTGTTTTTCAGATTTGTAAACCAGAACAAAGGGATTTATTTTTTTTCTTATTTTCCCCAAGTGGTAAAACAAGTCTTATAATTATTAGTAGTAGTATTAGTAGTAGTATTATTAGGATATTTATATAGCACCATCAAATTCCGCAGTGCTTTACAATGGGTGGAGGAACAGACATGTAGTTGTAACCAGACAAATTGGACACACTGGAACAGAGGGGTTGAGGGCCCTGCTCAATGAGCTTACATGCTAGAGGGAGTGGGGTAAAATGACACAAAAAGGTAAGGATAGTATTAGACTAGTGACAGTTGCAGAAGAGGAATCAGTCAGGAGCTATTAACAGTTTAATTGATACACTTTTATGAAGAAGTGGGTTTTTAACGATTTTTTTTGAAGGAGTGGAGACTGAGTGAGCATGTAACGGAGGAGGGAAGCGAGTTCCACAGATACGGTGCAGCCCTCGAGAAATCTTGAAGGCGAGCATCAGAGGTGGGAGTACAGACAGAAAATACACTTAAGTCTTCAGCAGATCGTAAGGGCCTAGATGGGACATACTTGTGTATAAGGGAGGATAGATAGGTGGGAGCAGCATTATGTAGAGATTTGAAAGCAAGAACCAGAATTTTAAATTGAGCTCTATATTTTATAGGAAGCCAATGTAGGGACTGACAGAAGGGTGAGGCATGGGAGGTGCGGGCAGACAGGAAGATGAGCCTCGCTGCCGTATTCATTATGGACTGTAACGGTGCAAGTTGGGAGCACGTAAGACCACTGAGAAGCGGATTATAGTAGTCAAGGTGAGAAAGGACAGTGGAACGAACCAACACCTTAGTCGCATCTGGCGTTAAGTAGTGGCAGATGCGCGCAATGTTTTTGAGATGGAAATGACATGATTTGGCGATAGAACATGAGGCTTGAAGGAGAGGTTGGAGTCAAAGAGAACACCTAGGCAGCGAGCCTGCGTGGTGGAGCTGATGGTAGCACCGTTGACTTGGAGGAAGACAGACACAGGAGTAACAACACTTGAGGGAGGAAAGACAAGAATTTCAGTTTTGGTCAAGTTTAGTTTAAGGAAGTGAGCAGCCATCCAGTTAGAAACAGCAGAGAGGCAGTCAGAGACATTAATTAAAAGGGACGGGGAGAGATCAAGAGAGGACAGGTAGATTTGCGTGTCATTTGCATAGAAATTATATTGGAAGCCAAAGGAGCTAATGAGTATAGCAAGGGAGGCAGTATAGATGGAGAACAGTAGGGGACCAAGGACTGAACCTTGGGGGACACCAACAGAGGAGTTGGGGAGAATCCGCCGAGCCAGAGAAAGAAACACTGAAAGAGCGTATAGTATTGGTAATATAGCGCCAGCTTATTCCGCAGCGCTTTACAATAAACGGGGAATTTGCCAAATGAGACAATAACAAAATGTAACGGGAACAATAGAGGACCCTGCTCAAATGAGCTTACAGTAGAGTATTAGAAGATTATGACTTTCTTGGTGCATAAAGTCATGCTTAAAGTTATTTTATTATTTATATAGCACCATCAGATTCTGTAGCGCTGTGCAATGGGATTTGCCAAGCTCTTGATGCTATGAATACGTATTGAATATATTACCGTATAAAAATGACTAAGGCAATACTGTATTCCACCAAGCGAACATCTCTCCTAAAAGAAGAACCAAACCAAAAAGAAAATACACTAATGTGTGTATGTATGTGTGTAGTTGTGATTTCTATTGGCATGTTTGCTAGTTTGAACAGGGAATGTTTTCAACTTTAAAAAAGAGCAGAATTTGGTAGAAGGTTGTAAGATCTTTGTTACAGCATTCGGTTTCGTTCTATATTTTTGTGTACCTATGTATTTTCAATACTTTAACGGAGGAATAATTGTTTAGGTGGTTTATGTGGCTTGTGGTTGAGAAAGGTGGTATTTAAAAAATAAAATAAAATAAATAAAAAAACATTTTACCATGTAAACCTTTTTTCTAACGCTTTATAACACTTCCTTTTTGCATGCAAAATAGCACAGTGGTTTAAATGGCAATCCAAAGTGCACCAACCTTTTCCTGCACAGGAAAGGCTGATCTTGTTGTTTGGGGTTTAAATACGTAGTCATTTGTACGTGCAAATATATGTAAACATGTTGCTTAAACTACTGTGGGATTTTCTTTTGCTTCTCCTCTGTGTGCATCTTGGGAATTCCTTTCAGTTGAATTGTGTTTTGAGACTGTTTCCACAGGCATTTGCAGGCACATGTGGAAAGTCTGTGTTTGTTTTTATTTATTATTTTTTTTTATATAATATATATCTCATGTCTCCTGTGCCTGGCTCTCATGTATGTGGACAGACCGTTCAGTTCTATCTGCCGGCACACTATAGATTAAAAAAAAAAGGTTTCTACAGTTCTTCCAGACTGCAGTCAAGTGTGTGTGTATGTGTGTGTGTATATATATATATATATTATATAATTTGACATTAATCAAGAGGGACGGGGAGAGGACAGGTAGATTTGCGTGTCATTTGCATAGAAATTATATTGGAAGCCAAAGGAGCTAATGAGTTTAGCAAGGGAGGCAGTATAGATGGAGAACAGTAGGGGACCAAGGACTGTACCTTGGGGGACACCAACAAAGAAGAAAAAATGTATTCTCATTTAACAGCTGACTGCCTGAAATGTAATATATATATTACATTTCAGGCAGTCAGCTGTTAAATGAGAATACATTTTTTCTTCTTCTAGTTGCCACATGTGAACAGACCTGCACCACAATAATCTATTGTATTCCATATTTCAGTGTAGTGGTTTAATAGAAAAGCCAGAGTTAGCGCATATCTTTGGTGAATGGTTTGAATAGTTGAATATGTGCCTGAACAAAATGCCTCTGGAAATGTACTTACAGTGAAGAATAGTGAAGTGCTTATTTTTTATATATATATATATATACACACACACACACTCTCTTCTCTCTGGAGAATTTTTTTTTTTTTTTTCCTGGACCATTTAATGTCAGACTCTATTTCTATATAAATACAATGTTAAACACAGGTCTGCACACCAGTCAAGCCATAAGACTTTCTTTCCCGACTGAAATCTCACATTTGCAGTGCTGTTACTACTGCAATGGATTCTGGGTGTTCATATGGAAATTAGTTAAACAAAGAACCACCTTTTTGCCCATTTGTTTCCACTTTATTCATGGATTTCTTGGACTAATATCTGCTGTATACAACATCCTTGACACACCACTCAGGAGGCGCTGCAAAGCCAGATAACCACTCGTGGACAGCTGTTTTGTCCTCGATGCAACTCATCAGCATGATGTTGGTTACTGGCTTGTTATTGAGGCTTGGAGTTACTTGTGTAACATAATCCAATAGTTATTGTGGGGAAAAAGTTATTGACAACCCATTCCACCTAAAGCCATTGCATAGTAAATAAATTGTTAAACACAGAGCTGCAACTATATAGATATATCCCAACGCATCAGACAGTGATGTCATATCCAGTTATTTTCTGTAATGAAGGGGAAATGCATGGGTAACCTCCCTGGAGTTGAGGGGCCTTCAAGGGACATAACACTTCCTAAGTACATGAGGAAAAAAAAAGCTTAGTGGATATACCCCTAATGAAACATGCATTTGATTAATAATATTTTAATTCAGGAATTCATTGGGAAGAACTGTTATTAGCAATAATCAGCATGTTTTTATGAAACATAGGTCATGTCAAACTAACCTAATTGCATTCTACGAAGAAGTATAGATCAGGGTGTTGCAGTGGATGTGATCTACTTGGTCTAGATGAATATTCTTGTTCTTGGGTAGAACATTGGCTTAAGGATAGAGTATGAGTTGTCATTAATGGTAAATTTTCAAGCTGGACAAAAGTGGTAAGTGGTGTCCCTCAGGGTTCTGTTTTGGGACCGCTTCTATTTAACATATTAATAAATGATCTTGAAATGGGCATTGGAAGCCATGTATCAGCGTTTGCAGATGACACAAAACTTTGTAAAGTAATAAAATGTGAGCAGGATATTTCCTTGCTGCAGAGGGATTTGGATAGATTGGGGGACTGGACACTAAAATGGCAGATGAAATTTAATGTAGAGAAATGCAAAGTTATGCACTTCGGGGTTAAGAATGCACAAGCAATTTACTCCCTAAATGGTAGTGAACTAGGGGTAACCACACACGAGAAGCATTTGGGAATCGTTATAGACCACAAATTAGGCAGCAATATGCAATGTCAATCTGTAGTTGCTAAGGCCAGTAAGGTTATGTCATGTATAAAGAGGGGCAAAAATTCTCGGGATGAAAATATAATTTTGCCTCTTTATAAATCGCTGGTAAGACCACACCTTGAATATGCTGTGCAATTTTGGGCACCTGTTCTAAAGAAAGCTATATCATGGCACTAGAAAAAGTGCAGACACGAGCTACAGCATTAAGCTGTAGTGGTTCTGGTGACTATAGTGTCCCTTTAAGAATTAAATTTGTGGTGTTGAAAAACCTTGCTCCTAACCTTTTTAATTGGCTCCTAGATTCCAAGCACATTTGGCAAGCACTGATCTAAAAGCAACTTTCAAAAGTTGCAGATCTCATCTGCAATCTTTACATACCCCCCTTCTAACACTCCATAGACTTTTTGTGGATGTCTAACCACAGACTTTCCAATGCAGCTCAATGAGAAGTTTTTACAAGGTATGTGATCTGGGCAATTGCTGCCTTTTGAGTTTAGCTCCACTGAGCTAAGCAAAAGGAAGTGACAGGACCAGTTGTTGGAAAAGGGGGTGTAACAAAGGTAAAGGGACATAATAGTTACCAAAGCAACCTTAGTTTATTGAAGCAGTTTTGGTATATAGATTATGTCCCTGCAGTCTACCTTCAAAGTTCTCTGCCATCTAGGAGATAAATCACTTTGTTTATGTAGCCCTGGTCACACCTCCCTGCATGTAACCTACAGAGCCTTCCTAAATACATCCTGTAAAAAGAGATCTAATGTTTACATTTCCTTTATTGCACAATTGGTTTTTAATTTGGAATGTATTATCTCCTGCACTTGTAATAGCTTGATAGCCCTTGCAGGAACCTCCTGTGTGTGAGTATAGTTCAAATTACAAAGCAGGAGATAAAAACGTCTAAAGCAAGTTACTATCTGATTGAAAATTAAACCTTTTCCTTTAAGCAGGCTGTGAGAGTCACATCCATCGGAGGTGTGGCTAGGACTACATGGATATAAACAAAAGTAATACAATTACAAGCCCCTTGTCAGCCATCCCCCACACCACTTTCAGATAGTAATCCAGTTTAGGTCAAATTTTATATTGATGCATTAGTGTTAATGCAAAGAAAGTTTTGAAAGATCTTTTAATACAGCATTGCAGATATACAGTCCATGAATGGCAGTCACTGTGACCCACCACGCAAAAATGCTTCTCAACACTAAGCGTTGAATGCTTCATAATTTGTGAATATTCCCAAGTGACGAGCTTGGTGTCAGCTCGACCTGCTGTTTGTACTTGCCCACCTGCCAGGTAACCATCTACCTCCCACAATATATCTGCAGCTCTTAATGGTTACGTTAGGATAATGCATGCGTACACACAGCAAGCTGCCTGCAGCGTCCTAAAGCTGTGTCCTGCGATGCATGCTAGTGAACATGACCAGATACAATTATTTTAGTCAAGCCAAAGCAAGTCTACTGAATGTTTACTAGACAGCCACTTAAGTTTGGTCTTACAGAAAATGTAAATGGTGCTGTATCTGTGTGTTACTGCAAGGATATTTGCACAAAAACCACATTGGTAACCTGAAGTGGGTTTGGTGCTTTTTATTAAACATTGCGATGAAGCAGTCATGATGGGGCAATCCCTCAATGCTTATAAGAAGATTCTTGTTTTTTATGTAACCATTCTTTAATGGCTTATGAAGCTGTAACATATAATGTATAAAATAAGTGTTCACACACTTCTTGAATCATACTATCTCTTATTTTGCTTGCTATTGTAAATAGTAAACATTTCTTTCTCTATATGCAAATCTGCTTCATTTTCTCATGTTTTATTTAAGACTTTTTCATGACCACTTCGTTTCAGTGTGGATCTCTTTTTTGGAGGTTTGTTTTTTTTTTGTCAGATAAAGAAAAGATGAAGCCTTAGGGGTCAAGCAAAGCTTAGTCCATTTATATGTTGATTTCGGGATCATGTGGGTATAAAGGGTGCTGAACCCTAAATAGTACAAGAAAGGTTGCCTAAGAGGGTGAAAGAGTGAAGGGTGACCTGCCTTTCCTCTAACACTCCCCCTAGGTATACCCACAGTAGTGAAAATAACTCATAGGGTATGAATAGAGTAAAAATTAAAAACTTATGTTTATTGAATTCTATTTAAAAATCTCCTTTTAAGGACAAAAATTAATGAAATAGGTGAAACACACAGTGTTGGTGAATTTAAAAAGGAAAGGTTACCACTAGTGGATATATAGAGGCTTTATCAATTTGAGCTCCTATCAGATACTATCCAACTAAGTGCAACTTATTTACTAGCTTTTGACCTTTATCTCTTAAATATATTCTTGACTATTGTGTCTATTGTAGAAGTCAATTCATAAGTAACAACTTACAGTTAGTTACACTTCTATATACAAGAGATTACCATATTTTATTGTATAAATCAATTTATTAGTAACCACTTAGTTAGTTACATATACAAGAGACTGTCTAGACTGCATCGAACCTTTCCTTTTTAAATTCACCAACACTGTGTGTTTTACTTATTTCATAATTTTTTTGCCCTTAAAGAGATTTTTTAAATAGAATTCAATAAACATAAGTTTTAAATTTTAACTCTATTCGTACCCTATGAGTTATTTTCACTACTGTGGGTATACCTAGGGGGAGTGTTAGAGGTAAGGCAGGTCGCCCTTCACTCTTTCACTCTCTTAGGCAACCTTTCTCGTTTTTTTTTGTTTTTGTTTGCTTAGTTGCTTTGCTTTGGATCAGTCCACTTTGGCATAAGGACCCACGTTAAAATTGTGTTCTGAAAGTTTGGATTAAACTTGAAATAACTGTATTTGTAAGGTGGTTTCTTACATATTTATGGTGTATGTTTGCATTGTTGACTTTTTTTTTTTTTTTTTTTAGAGATATAGCTAATAGAGAACTTTTTTATTATATAATGGGAATAAAATAACACGTCGTAGCTATGTTTGACGGCTTTTAACAGATCAACTTTTTTTTTTTTTCTTTGCATGTCCCTACTTATGTCTGTTTAAAATTCCTATTCATTTATTTGTGGTTATGCTTTGTAACTGCTCTGTATTCATGTTTCTAAATGCTAATCCGCATACCTTTCTCTTCTCCCCTCCCCCCCACCTCCATTAGGTAAGAAGTGGATTGAATTCATTTTCCAAGCACAGCAAGCATGTCCTCTATCTTACCATTTACTCCACCTGTTGTGAAGCGCCTTTTAGGATGGAAAAAGTCCGCCAGTGGTACCAGTGGCGCAGGTGGTGGTGAGCAGAATGGTCAGGAAGAAAAGTGGTGTGAAAAGGCAGTGAAAAGTTTGGTGAAAAAGTTGAAGAAAACAGGACAGTTGGATGAACTTGAGAAAGCAATCACTACGCAGAGCTGCAACACAAAATGTGTAACAATCCCAAGGTACACCTTTAAGTATTCTGTGTGTTATCAATGGTGTTTGTTCCAAGGGAAATTCAGACTTTGGGGGTTTATTCACTAAACAGTGAATTGTAAAACATTAAATATTGCAAAATTCACACCTTCAAACTAGTGTTTGATCTTTATAGTTGGTTTAGTTACTGCTTTGTTAATAAAACCCCTTAGTTATTTGTTTTCACTAGTGAGCAACATGATGTCAAACAAGGCGTTGCAAATGCTAACCAGGATAAACATTTAAAGCTATGACCAGCATATCGCTCTTTGTAGCATTCATTTTTGTATGTGAAATCCGTTTTAATACAAATGTACTGGTTTTATTTTTAGATCAAGACACTCAAGAAAAGCTGACTTTATTGTTATTAACTTCAATCTTAGTATTTCCTTGGTCATCACTTCAGTAACACTATCAAACTTGTTCTTATTAAACACCATTTGGACTCTAGATGTAATGTGGCTGTTTGGATTTGATGTGTGTGTGATGGCAGAGGGGGTTCAAAAATTGTTGGACAAATTGACAAAAGTGAAGCTGTCACTATAGAAACCAATACAGTTGACCCCGTTGATTACTGAACTTTATCATTCTGTTATGTCATATGGTCAGTGATGGCTTTATTATATATGATTTTGTATGTAGAGATATGTTTTATAAAAAAATGTTTTTGTATTTCACTGACCGGTTAAAAAAACTTTGAATAGATTTTGCTTTTCCATTCACTTACCCTCCAGTTTTACTTGAAATCATTGTCAATCATTGATATTACATCAAAAATGTACTATCTTGTAATGTATCTTAAAAGGACACTGGAATGGATTTACTCTTTTAAAAAAACAAAAAGAAAACTGTTTTGCTACAGCAATAATAACCCTATTAAAAAAAAAATCACGTGTTGAAAGATCTCCCCACCAATTTATTCCCTGGCCTCTCATAGGCTTCTACTTTATACCTAGTGAGAATGTATTTTGTCTTGCCATCAGCTGCTCACTAATTTCTTTTATGAATCCATGGAATGCTGCATGTTTAGTGTATCCTTGAGTGGCATCTCATTTCTGAAATACAAACTACTCAAGTGAATAAATGAGACACAGCTATTGGCTGCGTTGTGTCTGCACATTGACCAAACACATCAGATGTGTGACAAATGACAGAGTTACTTTCTATTTAAAATTGTGGATTGTGTCTTACCTGCTGATGTTCATTCTTTTAAACTTTGCGAGGGTAGAGCCTTTTTTTTTTTTTTTAAAAAAAAAAAAAAGAAAATGTAGCTTTTATAAACGATAATTTTGTTCATTCATTTTTTCCAAATACAAGATTAAAGCAAAGTGCTGGGAGTTTCAGAAAGGAGCTGATTCTTTTACAGATGGGAAAAGTGCCATTGTAGTAGTTAGATTTTTATTAATATAGTAATTCCCAAATTACAAATTGACTTTAACTGCCAACCCGATTTAAACTGTCCTTCTCCCTTAATTTGTTTTAACTAGAATAAAATTGGCATCCAGCACCTGACATAATAGGAAAATGTTTGGTACCTGGTAGGAAGTATTCAGAATTGTATGTAAACTACACATTTGCATGACAATGATGTTTAAATGGAATGCTCCAAGCACCACAACCACTACAGCATGCTATAATGGTTATGGTGCCTGGAAGGCCTTGGCTACCACATTGTAAGTTGCCAAATAGTTTTAAAATGGTTTGACTGCTTACTTTGGGTCTGACAGGCATTGCACCCTGTCTCCACAACTTCAGCCAGAGAATCAGAAGTTTTCTATCTGAGCTAACAGAAGCTCCTAAGCAGGATGTTCCCGTTCTCTGGCTAAGGTAGTGGAGGTAGGGGTCGGCTTCAGTGGACCCCAGGTTAGAAGTCAAACTGTTGACTCATTACAATGGGTGTTGCCAGGAAGCTCCTGGCACCATAGCCACTACGGCACGCTTGGAGTGTTCCATTAATTTGGTTAATTTTTATTTTAAAAATCCTAACATTGTTATTTTTAACCATCTGTTAATTTATTTTTGAATGGCAGGGCCTGTTTATATTACCATAATATACAAACATTAAGATGAGTGGTAGTATTGGTGTTGTAGCAACCGGCAGATAATTTCATGTTGAACAAATACTTGTTGGCAAAACTGTACAGACTGTTTCTTTTAAATAAATATTTATATATAGCTTGTCCACTGTGGCAGAGGATTCCCCTCCCCAACCCCTTTTTTGTTTCTTCTTTTTTGTTATTACTTATATGTTGAGTAAGAGCTGAGGAACAACAATGCCCAAGCTCTTACTCAACATACAAGTAATAACAAAACAATGAAATCCTATTTCTTGTGATCATATTCCTTGTGTAGCATTCGTAAATGAGGCTCAGTCACTTTCAATTACATTATTATTATTATTATTGGTATTATTATTGGTATTTATATAGCACCAGCATATTCTGTAGCGCAAATAAATTAGCTCAGTGGGCAAATGCATAATCAGTACAATCTGTTCAACCCTTGTGGGTTGCAGGGTTGACTCAGCCCTTCATTCCTCTGAGGTAGATAAAATGAGTACCATTAAATTGGGTAATAGCAACATCCTGGATGTTGGGCAAAAGTAACATCCCCAGGACGTACTTTGAAACCAGAGCAATCTGAATGTACCTTTCCTGGTTAAATACTTCCTTATAAGGGCAGAGTACAGAATATTTGATAGAGTCCTAACCTCAACATCTGAGGAAAGGGATTTAGGGGTGATTATTTCTGATGACTTAAAGGACCACTATAGTGCAAGGAAAACATACTCGTTTTCCTGGCACTATAGTGCCCTGAGGGTGCCCCCACCCTCAGGGACCCCCTCCCGCCCGGCTCTGGAAGGGGGAAAGGGGTAAAAACTTACCTTTTTCCAGCGCTGGGCGGAGAGCTCTCCTCCTTCTCTCCTCCTCCGTTCCTCCTACTGGGCTGAATGCGCACGCGCGGCAAAAGCTGCGCGCGCATTCAGCCGGTCACATAGGAAAGCATTCATAATGCTTTCCTATGGACGCTTGCGTGCTCTCACTGTGAAAATCACAGTGAGAAGCACGCAAGCGCCTCTAGTGGCTGTCAATGAGACAGCCACTAGAGGATTAGGGGGAAGGCTTAACCCATTCATAAACATAGCAGTTTCTCTGAAACTGCTATGTTTATGAAAAAATGGGTTAACCCTAGCTGGACCTGGCACCCAGACCACTTCATTAAGCTGAAGTGGTCTGGGTGCCTAGAGTGGTCCTTTAAAGGTAGGCAGACAATGTAATAGAGCAGCAGGAAATGCTAGCAGAATGCTTGGTTGTATAAGGAGAGGTATTAGCAGTAGAAAGAGGGAAGTGCTCATGCCATTGTACAGAACACTGGTGAGACCTCACTTGGAGTATTGTATGCTGTACTGGAGACCGTATCTTCAGAAGGATATTGATACCTTAGAGAGAATTCAGAGAAGGACTACTAAACTGGTTCATGGATTGCATGATAAAACTTACAAGGAAAGGTTAAAGGAACTTAACATATATAGCTTGGAGGAAAGACGAGACTGGGGGATATGATAGAAACATTTAAATACATAAAGGAAATCAACGCAGTAAAGGAGACCATATTTAAGAGAAGAAAAACTACCACAACAAGAGGACACAGCCTTAAATTAGAGGGACAAAGGTTTCAAAATAATATCAGGAAGTATTACTTTACTGAGAGGGTAGTGGATGCATGGCATAGCCTTCCAGCTGAAGTGGTAGAGGTTAATACAGTGAAGGAGTTTAAGCATGCGTGGGATAGACATAAGGCTATCTTAGATATAAGAGACTAATGAAAGTGTTTTAGAAAATTGGGCAGACTAGATGGGCCGATTGGTTCTTATCTGCCGTCACATTCTATGTTTCTATGTCAAACTCAAAGGCTAACACAGGCCAAATAAACAAGGTTTACGTTCATGTGGGCTGCAAAAAAAAACCCTTAAGTTTTCATAGAAATGTAGGTTTATTTTGAAAAGTACAGTATAAAAAAGTTGCCTAACTGACACTGGACGCCCTGGCGCTCGTAGGGCTTCAAAGTAAACAAAAGAGCAAATTTATTTTAATGAGACGTGCATTTGCATATCACCAAAGTTTCAGTCCAACTATCCCAATCTAATATACAGCCTCATTCTAATACATTGCCCACAAATCCAATACACTTCCCCCTCCATCCAATCAAATAACAACCCCATAATCTAATTTACTGCCCCCCCCTTCAACCTATCTAATAAACTGTCCCTTAATCTAATACTGCCCCCACTCTAAATACATTGCCCCCCTACCTCCCCCAATTTAATAACTGCCCTTTCCTTCCCCCAATTTAATACACTGCCCCCTCCCTCCTCAAATACAGCCCCGCTCCCTCAAATTAATACACTGGCCCCTCCCCCAAATTAATACTGTTCTCCCTCCCATTTTTAACACTACACAGGAAGGTCTCTGCAGCCCCTCTTCCCCTACCTTAAAGGACCACTGTAGGCACCCAGACCACTTCAGCTTAATGAAGTGGTCTGGGTGCCAGGTCCAGCTAGGCTTAACCCATTCTTTTATAAACATAGCAGTTTCAGAGAAACTGCTATGTTTATGAATGGGTTAAGCCTTCCCCCAATTCCTCTAGCGGCTGTCTCATTGACAGCCGCTAGAGGCGCTTGCGTGCTTCTCACTGTGAAAATCACAGCGAGAGCACGCAAGCGTCCATAGGAAAGCATTGATAATGCTTTCCTATGTGACCGGCTGAATGCGCGCGCAGCTCTTGCCGTGCGTGCGCATTCAGCCGCATGGGAGGAGGATCGGAGGAGGAGAGCTCCCCGCCCAGCGCTGGAAAAAGGTAAGTTTTAACCCCTTTCCCCCTTCCAGAGCCGGGCGGGACTATAGTGGTCCTTTAAGATGAGCCGCCCGTCCTCCAGTTCCAGCTCTGCACTTCTCTGCTCAAGCAAGCCAGACGATCCTCTGGCACCGCAAGCGGGAGTGAAGGGAGAGTGGCTGGTCTGACAGCCACTCTACGCTTTTGTGGCCGTGGGAGGGAAGACAAGAATCAGACAGGAAATATCTTTCCTGTCTTGTGGCTGGTTGCAGTCACAGCACAAAACAGGCCCAGGGCAGAAGGGCCGCAAGTATGACAATGCTTGCTGTAGCGCTTTACAATATTATCTGAAGGGGGAGATTTTACAATAAATGAGACAATTCTGCACTCAGATCTTTCTATGCTTTTATTCAGTGTTGAGGAGCCAGTTGAAGTACAACTGTTCTACTGTTTAAATCACATCACATTTAGTGGTTTGCCATGGGTTTCATGCATTTATGAGCCTGAGCGCACAGTCTTTTTAATAGGGATGTGCATGGGCCAAGAATTCAATTCGGCTCGGAAATTCGGGTAAGTAAAAAAGAATTTGTCTGCCCTAACCACTTGTTTTGACACTTTTCAGAAATCCGAAGCACTTCAGATCTTTGGCAATTCGAACATTCGTAAGCATCCAAATGTCCAAATTGTGCGAAATTTGTCCGAATCTACATTCGGAACGAAACAAATTGCACATGTCTGTTTAAGAGAGTGGGCCAAGATGTAACTTTCATCTACATTATATCATTTGAAGTGAGGGGTGGACAGTGAATTAACCTTTTTTTTTTTTATATATTCTGTTCTAATTCTACATTTAAAGGAACACTATAGGCACACCAAAACAACTTTAGCTCATTGAAGCAGTTTTGGTGTATAGATTATACCCCTCAATTTCCTCTTGTATGAGTAAAAGCACTTTGTTTATGCAGCTCTAGTCACACCTCCCTGCATTTGCACAGCCTTCCTAAACACTTCCTGAAAAGAGACATGTAATATGTATACATCCTTTATTGCATGGTCTGTTTAAATTAGAATATATTCTCTCCTGCGCTAATAATCTAGACCCTGTTAATCTAGAGCAGTGGTTCCCAATCCAGTCCTCAAGTACCCCCTACCAGTCCAGGATTTGGCTATTACCCTGTTGTGTGTAAAGGTTTATTTATTTTTTCCTAAAAACACCTTGGACACAACTGGGTAATCCCTAAATTCTGGACTGTTAGAAGTACTTGAGGACCTAGACCTATGTGTGATTAAAGTCGAAGTTACAGAGCAGGAGATAAAAACATCTAAAGTAAGTTACTATCTGATTGAAAGCAGAACCTTTTTTTCATGCAGGCTGTGTGAGTCAGAGCCAGGAGAGGTGAAAAACAAGTGATACAACTCCTTAATGGCAAATAATTGAGCAGTGAGACTGCATGAGCATGTTCTGTTCTCTTAAACTTCTTCATTAACTAAAGTTGTTTTGATGCCTATAGTGTCCCTTTAAGATTTCACACCATTTTAGCTCTCCCATTTTCCAATCATTCTGTGTCATTATTTCCTCTCTGTACACATCTCACACACATCATGCCAGTACCCTCCATGTCAATTCCCTATTCTTGTTCTGCATGCTAGTATTCATTTCCAGAACATTTCTCTTCACCACACCAATCCACTCTGGCCACTTGTGAACTCACATTAGTATTTGTTACATGTGTCCTCCCCTACATAGGTCTCTGTTAGTCATCTGGATAGCTGTTGGTGCTTGGTGGTTCCTGAAGCCAGGAATGGCTGCTGTTGATGTCATGTGACCCAAACCCCATAACATTACTCATTGCTATATACAAGTGAGTGCTACGTCTGGTGACACTCCTACCATCACCAATTTATTTCTCTCTTTTAGGGAGAGTTTCAAAATTCCTTCCCCCCCTAAATTGTTTTTGGGTAGAAAATATGCTTCAACGCTAAATCGGAGTTGTGTAATACTATGCTGGATGGTACCTTGTTACCGTGGAGACTGGAAAGAAATGACCTAGTGACAGACTCTCAGCAGGACAGCTAATGCTTTGTAGACCTTTGTCTGTGAAGCTGTTATCTGCACTAGTAGTTCATGGCCACTTGAATTTAAAAATAAATCAGTTGATTTGTAAAGTATAAACCAGTTAAACAAACAATGGAACCTGTATCGCTTACACATGTATGCATGATTAGACATTTTCGCTATTTTTATGCAGGTCGTGATTGCACATGCAAAAAGCCTTTTAAGTTACACACAGCATTGAATTTAACAGTGCAGACATTCTATTGTGCTAGCAACTGTATAGTGTTCTCTGGCCCAAGTGCAGTATTTTTGATTTTTCATGTTATTACTATCTTTCACTCTGATATATAATCATCTGAATTGTTAATGCAAGCATGTCTGTTAAACTATGCACTACAAAAATAAATATAAAAAAAAAAAAAAAAAAATTTTTTTAAATTTCGGTAAATTTGACCCGTTTTTGGACGAAATTTAGGTGCATCCCTAATACACAATGTGATTTGTTCGTGACAGGTTGGCACTCCACTATAATAGAGAAAAATAAATTATATATTCCTACCTGGTCAAAGAAAAACTCCAAGTTGGACCACAAAACATGGCAAACGGGGCTAAATGCAATACATAAATCTAACCTAGTTTAGAGAAATACAAGGAAGGTACGAATCTGTAGGTCAGGATAATTGGAAGAGGTGAAAAAAACTAGGTAACCTTATGTTCTTCTGTAAGAACTAGGAATTAATACTACTTCGTTACACCATACCCATGGAACAGAGACCGCAAATCCCTACAAAAGAAATGTGGAATTCAGGACTCCAAGGTGGAAATGTGGTAAGTAATAATAGATATGGAGGTTGAGATCAGCATACTGAGTGTAGTTCCTGGCTAAGAAGAGCCCAGATACTAACTCTACAAAGAAGCTAGTTACATTGGCTCACTAAATGCTAGTGCCTACTGAACACCAGTCCATAGACATGTGTAAACATAAACCAATGCTTTAGGACTGGTATTCGACAGGCTTTAGCGTGCCGGGGTTATTGGCTTCTATGTAAAGTTAGTATGGCTCTTCTTAGCCAGGAATTACACACAGATCCCAACCTCTATATCCGTTATTACAGCCCATTTTCCACCTTGGAGTCCTGGATTACACATTTCTTTTTTGTAGGGATTTGCAGTCTCTTTTATATAGCTATGTAGGTACACCCTTGTTTTATGTTGTACCAAAGTAGAATCAGTAATTTATGTAGAATATATGGCTAGCTTTATCCCAAACCCCCTCCAAATACTCTGGTCTACAGATTCGTATCTTAATTTACATTTAGCCCTGTTTTGTCATGTTCTGTGGCCAAGTATGGATTTTTGTCACTAAATGTGTATATATATGTGTATTATTTTTATTTATTTTTTTGTAGCGTCAGTCTGTCTCTAACAATCACATTGTGTATGGCCTTCACCCCTCCTAGGTGAAGATTATCCAGCTGTCCACCTATCGTTTTGCACACAGGTCCACTTATCTTATGCAGACACTTATATGTCCCCTCCATTTGTCTTCAAACTATTCTATAAAATTTTTCCTCAGTCCTACCTGCATCTGGACTTTGTGCTCAGTTATCAGTAGTTGTCTTATGTTTTATATGGGCCATGCTGATATCAGGATTGAGGGTTTAATGACTTTCCTTACAGGTTTTCCTCACAACACTTTCTCAATGACTTAGGACAGTAACCTTAAAAATTCCTTAAAAGGGCTTTCTTCCCTCAAAACAACTTTAAAACCTCAACCATGGACTCTGGCTCCAAAATAAACTTCACGTAGATGAAGTGTTACTCCAAGCACCATTACCACTTCAGTGATTTGTAGTGGTTGTGGCCTCTGGAGTCTGTATGTGTTTTGCTATGAAGTGCTAAACAAATGTAACTCCACCTTTGGCACAGTCATTAGGTTGTCCTCAGCTTTTCATTTGACAGAATGTCAGTCATTGAATGCAAAAGGTCAGCTGATGCTCTCCAATAAACTGCAGCATCCATGGCTTTACTCTAACTGCATCAGAGCCTGTTGGGGACTCATTTAATGGGGCAAACCGTTGCTAATTGGTTTGACCTTTTACCAGGGAACCAGGCTTTGGTACTTCTGTCAATTGGCATCACAAGTCTTGCCCCCGCCAGAAGAGGGATTAAACTCCATATAATTAAAGTGGATTCAGTCCAACAATTAAAGGACCACTATAGTGCCAGGAAAACATACTCGTTTTCCTGGCAATATAGTGTCCTGAGGGTGCCCCCCACCCTCAGGGTCCCCCTCCTGCTGGGCTCTAGGGGGTGGAAAGGATTAAACTTAACTCTTTCTCCAGCGCCGGGCGGGGAACTCTCCTCCTCCTCTTCGGCTGAATGTGCATGCGCGGCAGGAGCCGCGCGCGCATTCAGCCAGTCACATAGGAAAGCATTCTCAATGCTTTCCTATGGACGCTGGCGTCTTCTCACTGTGAAAATCACAGTGAGAAGCGCCTCTAGCGGCTGTCAATGAGACAGCCACTGGAGGCTGGATTAACCCATAGGTAGACATAGCAGTTTCTCTGTAACTGCTATGTTTATAGAAAAAAGGGTTAATCCTAGATGGACCTGGCACCCAGACCACTTCATGAAGCTGAAGTGGTCTTTGTGCCTATAGTGTTCCTTTAATTGCATTTGGCAGCTGACCTATAGATGCAGCAAATGTCTTGTTTACTGTCTCTTCTTGTATTCCAGGTTGTGTAACTGTGTCTATTAAATTCTTTTATTTGCTATATGGCTGCACAAATATTGGAAGAAAATACCAGAGTTCAAATGGGATCATGCAATTTGTAATCTAAAAATACAAATTATTCTCTCAAACCTCCCTTGGCATTGTAATTACAGACTGTTTGCATATGAATAGGGGATTCCTTTCTAAATAGTGAATTCATAAACAGATTGCAAAATTTATATAAAAGAAAGTAACAAAACTAGTCTATTGCAGCGTAGCCCCTTAGTGTCATACACAAATTCATTTTGCTTGGGCCTAAGTGACTAGAGCAACTGTTGGCATTTTAATTGTATTTTTCAGGCATACCTTCACTTTGTTGTGCACTTTTATTAAATGGTGTTTAACCCCTTAAGGACAGAGCCAAATGTACACGTTGTGAACAAAACAAAATGTAAACAAAACCTGGCATTTGCTCTACATGTCTGTCCAACCCCATAATTCACCTCTTTCATAGTAAATGCACCCACCCTTATTATACATCATTTTATTCAGGGGAAACAGGGCTTTCATTTAATATCAAATATTTAGCTATGAAACATAATTTAATCTGAAAAACATGGGAGAAAATAAGATTTTTTTTTTTTTTTGATTTTTTTTTAGTTCTACATGACATTTTAACTGTCAATGTCATAATACTGTTTGCTTTTACTGCAATAAAATACACATATTTGTATTCAGCAAAGTCTCACGTGTAAGACAGTACCCCCTATGTACAGGTTTTATGGCGTTTTGGGAAGTTACAGGGTCAAATATAACACGTTACATTTGAAATTTAAATTCGCCAGATTGGTTACGTTGCCTTTTAGACTGTATAGAAGCCCAGGAATGAAATTTACACCCATAATGGCATACCATTTGCAATAGTAGACAACCCAAGGTATTGCAAATGGGGTATGTCACAAACACTGGCCAAAGTTAGCGTTAGTATTTGTTTGTGTGGGAAAAATGCAAAAACCGCCAATTTTGGCCAGTGTTTGTGACCAAGTGGCTACTAAAAAAGACTTGACATACCCCGTTTGCAATACCTTGGGTTGTCTTCTTTTGCAAATGGTATGCCATCATAGGGGTAATTTCCATTCTTGGGCTACCATAGGGTCTCAAAGGCAACCTAACCAATCTGGCAAATTTTAATGTGAAAAAAATGAAACATAAGCCTTATATTTGACGCTGTAACTTTTGAAAACACCATAAAACCTGTACATGAGGGGTACTGTTGTACTCGGGGAAACTTCGCTGAACACAAATATTTGTGTTTCAAAACAGTAAAAAGTATCGCAGCAATAATATCATCCGTGTAAGTGCTGTTTGTGCGTGAAAAATGCACAAAAAGTCACTTTTACTGGCGAAATCATCGTTGTAATACATTTTACTGTTTTGAAACACTAATATTTGTGTTCACCGAAGTCTCCCGAGTAGAACAGTACCCCCCATGTACAGGTTTTATGGTGTCTTGGAAAGTTATAGGGTTAAATATAGTGCTAGCAAATTAAATTCCCTTTACTTTCGGCATGGGTTGTCAGGCAGGTCCCGCTAATTGTAATTAATTAAGATACCTAATTATGTAAAAATATTACATAAATATATATGTAGAATTAATGTGTGTGTGTATGTGTATGTGTGTATGTGTATGTGTGTATGTGTATATATATATGTGTGTGTGTGTGTGTGTGTGTGTGTATATATATATATATATATATATATATATATATATAGTGTATGTATGTGAATCTATATGTGTGTATATATATATCTATAGTGATATATACGTATATATATAATTCGTTCTACATGTATTTTGATATAAATATATTTATATATTATCACAATACAGTTAGAACGAAATAACACACATCTATATATTTTTTAATTAAATTTTTTAACGTATTTAAATTTTTTATATTATATATAACAATAATTATATATATTTAATCAGTATGTCTGTGTAATTTGATATTAATATATATAAAATTATATATATTAATAGTAAAATACACCTAGACTGTGTGTGTGTGTGTGTGTGTGTGTGTGTATATATATATATATGTGTATATATATATATGTGTTCAAGTAGAGATTGTAGCCGTATTAGTCCAGTGATGTAGATGTAAAAAACAGATAAAATTCTTATCTTGTAATACCTTTTTTATTGGACTAACAGAATTTTTTAATGACAAGCTTTCGGGAGAACCTCCCTTTCTCAAGTCTGAAGCATTTCTTCAGACTTGAAGAGAAATGCTTCAGACTTGAGAAAGGGAGGTTCTCCCGAAAGCTTGTAATTAAAAAATTCTGTTAGTCCAATAAAAAAGGTATTACAAGATAAGAATTTTATCTGTTTTTTACATTATATATATATATATATATATATATATATATATATATATATATATATATATATATATATATATATATATATATATATATATATATATTCTAAGTATATAATTTTTTTTTTATTTTTTTTACACTTTTAACATTTTATTTTATTTCCAGCCAGCAGGGGGACCACCTGTCATTACAGGCAGCCCCCCTGCTGGCAATACAGAAGCCAGCTATCCCGGCCATGTGATTGTGAGGTCCTCGCAAGGACCTTACTCTCACATGGCTGGGGGGGGGGGGCTTCAGGACGTCGGATGTGCCACAGGGGGCTCCCTGCGAGTCCCCCCAACCGCGATCGCCGGCGACCGGATAAGTACAAAAAAAAGGAGGGCGTACTATTATTATTAGCTAATAAATAATGATGGTGGACTGTCTTGATGGCAAAAATAAATTGCAATGTTTTGGTGTGAACCTTTATCAACATTAGTGTTCTGTTTGAATTAATTATATCTATCTATATATGTTTTCAAGAAGTGTTTTTACCAATCCAAACTATTACATCAACAACTCAACCCTTTCTGGGTCTTCATCGAGATTTTTTTGAAATAGTAATGTAATATTTTGTGTTGTTAAATATACTTTTTGAAAACCTACATAGATCTCTCTCTTTTCTCCCCCCCCCCCTCCCCACAGGGAGGCATTACAAGTTACTCACCATAGTACGCCCTTTAGGGCTAATAATCACCGCCAATGGAGGCTGAACGTTTTGTCACAACACTAAAACCACCTACCTAATATTGTGTACCCCTTTTGTGCTGCCAACACAGCTGTGATGCGTCAAGGCATGGACTCCACAAGACATTTGATTGTCTACAAGATATTAGTAGTACATCCTTTAAGTCCTGCAAGTTGCTAGCTGGGGCCTCCATGAATCAGATTTAGAGATCTGGGGAAATTGGAGGCCAAGGCAACACGTCATATTTCTCAAACCATTTTTTGCTGTGTGACAGGGTGCATTATCCTGTTGAAAGATGCCTTTCCTATTAGGGAACACTATTGCCATGTAGGGGTATATGTGGTTTGTAACAATGTCTACTTGGGTGGTGTGTGTCAAAGTAACATCCACATGAATGCCAAGACCTGAGGTCTCCCAGCAGAGCATAACACTGTCTTAGCCTTCTTCCCATAATGCATCCTGCTTCCCCAGGTAAATGATATGCCTTCCTGATCAAAAATAAAACTTCTTTCCATTACTCTATGGTCCAGTTCTGATGCTCATGTCCCCACTGAGGATGCTTTCACCAGTTGGCATGGTATCAATGCCCCTGGCGCTGATTCACCGGTTTTCCTTCCTTGTACCACTAGTGGCAATAGCATAGGACTTCAAATTGGAAGCCCCAGTATATATTTATATACTTTTTTTTTTTTTTTCCCCTTTTCTTTCTTTTCTTTTTTTCTTTTTCTCAATTTGGAAGTTGTGCCTAAGGATGGTAGCCCCTGCTGGGTAGGATTCTGCAAAACTGGGGTTTTGTAAAAGACAAATAAAAATGAACATACAAAATAAAGAATAATAATGAGACCAAAATCTGTCCTATGCATTAAAGTTGTGTAGGTGCCTGGAGTACTCCTATAAGTTTTTGTAGTTTTACTATTTTGTACATATATCTAACTGTATTCAGATATTTTATATTGAGGGATACTGAGCTTTCAGACTGTTGGATGTTGGTGATAGTGGATATGCCTCCAGAGCGTGCTGTGCATTTATTTCATGCATTAACCAATGTATTGTTACATTCACACCTTTCCATTTTATCTTTATTTTTTTTAATTTTATTTTTTTTAAATGTGGTTCACACTGTTGTCATTTGTGGGATATCCTTGTTGCTAGATAATGTTGAATCTGACTTTCATTTTCTAATGTCTTTAGAAAACAATGAACAATTTAGCAAACATTGATGACTTTCCATAGCGCCATCACTCCACATATGGTTTATCTCCACATCTATCTGGTCATCCTATTTCTGACAAAACACTCTCTGATTTCTCACTGACACCTTTTGACAGATACACACACTATATACTTTCACTTGAAGTGCAGCAATCATGTTCTGAAAGTAGAGCTCCAACCATATTAACCTTAAAGGGGGACTGTCACTTCTCTGGAATTTACACCATTGAATGCAATGTCTCACTGCCAAATTCTCTGGCATTTAGTAGTTAAATTAGTATTATTTTTGCTCCCTTGGGTACATCCCCCTCTTGGTTGTAACTCACACAGCCTCTCTACACCTTCCACGAGAAGTAGCTATTTTTTATTTATTTATTTTTTTTAACTACACCTTATTGCACAGCGTGTTTTCATTTAGAAGTTCTTATATCCTGCTCTGTTAATTACCTGCTAGTGAATGCAGTATTTTCCTGTATGTTTATTAAAGGGACACTATAATCACCAGAACTATAGCTTAGTGCATGTGTTCTGACGAGTAGAATAATTTCATTCAGGCTTTTTGCTGTAAACACTGTCTTGTCAGACAAAATGCAGCTTTTACATTACAGCCTAGTGATAACTCCATTGACCACTCTTTTCCTGGGGCAGTGCTGCAGCACTGCCATTCAGTGTCTCCACCCTCTGCATCCAGACACTGAACTTTCCTCATAGAGATGCATTGATTCATTCCATCTCTGAGGAGGTGATGATTGCCCAGAGCTCCTAACAATGACAGGGAGCTAAGATGGAGGAACCCAATTGCACCACACAGAATGGTGGGCTTCTCCATGTAATTCTTTTCATGCCTACCAAACCCATATTTTAAAATATGGGGATGAATAAACATTATAAATCATAGGAAGTGGCAATTTGTTTTAGGAGTATTTCACTCTAGCTCTCCTCATAGAAGGAAAAAAATATATATTAAAAAAAAAAATCATTGGAAATCAATTTTTTACTTTTTCATTATGTTGCTGATGTCTCACCAGTAGGTCAATTGTTAACTGCCATTTCATTGCCTCAGTTTTTTATGCTAGGCCTGTGGTGTCACTTTATAGTAGATGTTTTTTCTTTTTGAGTAGTTTGTTATTGGCATTTGTTGAAATATATGTACCAAGGTAGAATCAATTTCATGTATCACATACAATCTACTTTGGAACTCACATGACTTGTGCTAAAGTGGACCATTAAAATTGCATATCAGATGCATGCAATATTTAACTCTTCATTGGTTTTTTTTGTTTTTTTATTTAATCCATATTAAAAGCTGCTCCTCTGGTGTCCACTTGGAATACATTTATAGAAAGAAAGAAACAAACAAAAAAAAGAGCCGGTCTTGCTACCCTGCTCAAGTAATTTTAAGACACCGGTGCATACCATATACTTAATCATATACGTGCACAGTACATCCATCATCGATCTCAATGCATGGTGGACATTCTGTGAGAGTAATTTTTTTTTTTTTTTTTTTTTTTATACATCCATACCCTTTTGTAAGTAAATATGCCTGACAAGTCCCTTTAATTCAAATATATATTTTAAATTCTACCTGCCTGTAAGGGAAATACTGTGTTTAATTCTAAGTTCAGTTCTTATCCTGTTTAGATATCATGATCTCTGAACCCTGAAAATACTTCTTGATTTAATTTCTCTTTGCTTTGCATTATGTGTGTATGTCTTGGGAACCGTGTGTAATTTATCACTTTGGTATCCACAACAAACAGGAAAGATTATAAGATGTGAGGGCCTTTTTTTAATGTTTTGCCAGAAGTAGCTATATTTCTATGTACATATGATACACATTTATTTAAATAAATAAAAAATGTCTGCATTATTTATTATTTTTCCATGTGCACCACTTAACTGTTTCAGTTTTCTGGCCTTTTATTGTTGCATTTTGTGAATTGTTACTTAGGTGGTAGTTATTTCATATGTATTGGGGGGGATGTCAGCAAACCCTCAACACCTTTTTGAGTTCTGTTTATTTGATCTATTTTAACTGGTGGTATAAGCGTTGGCTTTATTGAATAATATGACCAATAAATGCCACCTATGTTATCTGTTTGACAAAAGGATTTAAGATTCCTAGGTTCCTGTCAAGGTATGTTTCTTGGATCAAACCCTGGACTTCCTTAGTTATCCTAATCACTAAAATCTATCTAAGGAATTAGAGGGCTTTGATGTCTTGCGTTATCTATACCTTTAACCTTGATCTGAGCTTAGTAATTGTTACATAGCTTTGTTTTAGTGTTTGCTCCCCTGCCCACTAAATCTTTTCAAATATATGGTAAAGCCACATGAGATTTAAAATTGATTTGATCTATATGTTGATCTAAATCTGCCATCCTGCCCTTTTTCTAGAGTGCTTCTCCCAATCTCTCCCCCCCGTCCTCCCCCCGGCATGACTTTGTCAAAACACTATGAAAGTATGTAAGTCAACCATTTTCCACTTCTGTTTAGTTTTGGTTTGGTGGGGGAAAGTCTTCATAGCAGCATTGAGTTCCATACAATCACAGTATCTTGGTGTTTTCAGCATTGTCACAGCTTTCCTTGATCACCTGTTCCATTTGAAACCGCTTCCTTTACACGAACGATGATTTGTTGTTTTTTTTATCTTCCATGTGAAGGAAGTATTCTGTACATTTCCATGTACGTTTTACATCATGGTGTATCAAATAACCACGCTTCCATATTCACATCAATTTTTTGTTTTTCAATTTATGCACAGCACTTGCTCTGAAATTTGGGGACTGAGTACATCAAATACCATAGATCAGTGGGATACCACAGGCCTTTACAGCTTCTCTGAACAAACCAGGTGAATATTTTGCACTCTGTCGCATTCTAGAGCTCTGTGGGTTAGGAGTTTAAAGGGGCGGAGGATGCTTTTAGTGAAATTCTCAATGTACTACAGGATGCTTCTTTAGAAACAAATAGGCACAACATTGAAGTCCTTGGCAAATTGTTATATATTTCATTTACTTACTAGCTGATGTTTTGACCAAAGAAATTATTTAAAAACCCATCGGAATCTGCCAATAAATTGAAATTTAACCCATTGTATGATCAGTTGTAGCACAAAACCGTAGCACATATTCAATCCATTTTAGCCACTCCATAGCCATATCTTATTCGTTACAGAGTTAAAAAAAAAAATATATATATATAAAAATATATTTTTTTTTTCCTGGTTTGTGTTATGTCTTTGTCTATGTTCATTTCACAACCATTTACATCTGCATTTGTGTATGTGCATATGCAGCTAGTTTTTGTAATGCAATGTTTCTGAATACAGGTTTTCCATGGGTGCCTAGTTTTTTTTTTTTTGTCCCTTTCTCTTTAAAGTTGCTTTTTTTTTTTTACGCTTATTAAAATGACTTTGAGTCTTGGCTGAGAGTGTTTGCGTGTTTTCGGGCTAATGTATAGGCTCTTGAAAATTGTGTTAAGAGTTAAAACAAACGGTGGGAAAAAAAAAGCATCCAGGTTAGATTAGTTAATAGGAGTGGGGACATCCTATTTCTGTTTTTTGACATGGAGTATGTTGCTGTTGCACTGTAGTCCCTACAAAGCTCATCTAAAACTCTTATCAATGCCATTGTCTTGCTTATGGCTTGCTTTTGTTTCTTTCCTTCAGTGTTGCTGCAGTGTTTGTGTTTTTGCATGACGATATAGCCTTTGCCTGCTGCAGCTTGACTGTTTTGCTTAATTCATCCTGAGCTGCTACAATACAGCTTTCTTGAGTATTTATATTTTATTTTCTTCTCTCCACTAATTCTTCTCTAGCAGGTGCTGTGTGTCAGGGCTTCGTGCTAATTGGGAAGGGCTTGTGTGCTTGGGAGGAACAGCTTTGCTTTCTTGTATTTTTGCACATGGTGATATTTCCTTTCCTTTCTGCTTCAGTGTTTGCATTTTTTAGATTGTTTGTATGATTTAATTCCCTTCTCCCCTTTCTTAATATTTATTCTTGTGCTGTCCAGGTCTCTTGATGGGCGTCTCCAAGTATCCCACCGTAAAGGGTTACCGCATGTTATTTACTGCCGACTATGGCGCTGGCCGGATCTTCACAGTCATCATGAACTGAAAGCAATTGAAAATTGTGAATATGCTTTTAACCTTAAAAAGGATGAAGTATGTGTCAACCCATATCACTATCAGAGAGTGGAGACCCCGGGTAAGTAGCCTGCAGTCTATAATCTTTCTGGCAGAAAGCAATGTGTAAGCTAGTTAAGTTACAACTTAAATAATTGGTATGTTGTGAAAAATGTTTTGTGATCTCTATAAAACAACGCAAAAACAAAATCTTTTCTGCTAAAGACTACCTTTTTGAAAACTTAAAATGGGTCAGGTTTACAAAGACTGACTTGAAGTTAAATTAGCTGACTAAGATTACTGTTTATGGTTGATCTGCTGTAGTGATTCAAATTCTCAAAGCACCATAACCATTACAGCCTGCTGTAGTTATGTTGCCATAAGTGCACTATTGTCTTTCCAGCATAGTCAAACTATTTAAGAAAGTTTTGTAAAGGTATCTGGGTACTGCCAGTCTCCTGCTGCCACCTCCCTTCTGTTCCTTCCATTGAGCAAAGCCAGTCTACTCAGGGCTACGCTGATTGCCTGAGAGTGCTCAGTTGATGCACTTAGCTTGGAGGAGCATATAACAGCAGGTGAAAGCAGCACCTGGTATTATTACAGTCAGTTGTTGAACTGTTCTTGAACACTTTGGCTGCTTGTTTGGGAGGCGGCGGGACACTCATGGCACCATAACCACTAAAGCTGGCTGTAGTAGTGATGGTGCCAGGCATGTTCATTTAAGCGCATGTTGGGGGGGGGATAAGGGCAGGTGTAAGTGGTTATGGGATATTTAATATAAAATCCTGAGGTGAAGAAAAATAAAATTGAAGCATTTACTGCCTGTGCTCTGTGCATATCATGCTTAAAGAGATGACCCTGTATGCCTTTATGAAATATCAACAGCAATTCTCTCACTGATGCTTTTCATGCCATTTTATTTCTGTGCCACTCTGAATCTTAATCTGGATTTAGTTTCTTTGTTGGTGCTCACATAGTGCTTACCTTTGAATAACTTCACAGTGGGCTGTAATACATGAACGAGTGTCCCTAGCTACTAATAGCCCCATAGACCTGCGTCTGATTCCACCATAAAGTCTGGTGTGGGGTGAAGATCACTTTACTGTTCCAGGCCTGCATGTGGTAACCACTAGCAATGTTCATTCCGAATGTCTAAAGTGAGTGGATCCATCTGCTCGTAGGATGGCATATCTTGAAGGAATCTGGTCTTTAGGTGTTGGGTAGCCTGATAGTGAAGTGGGGTCAGAGTGATAGCCTCTAGATGAGCCAAATGATGGAGAGCAATCTGGTCTTCTCGAGGAACTCTTTTGATTTTCTTCGTTATCGAGGGGATTTTTGACTGAGGCAGACCTAACACCCAAGTGGTGGCATCTATCTCAAATCCTAGAAACAGAATCATATGTGATGGAAAGGCGATTTATTTCTCCCCCCCCCCCCCAGTGAGTATATCGCAAATCACGTGTGAGACTTCAGTCTTTATGGTTCGGCAGAGAAAAGCAACAGATTGTCCAGATAGATGAGACAACTTATAGCATTGGAACTCAGACCACGACACGACAAAATAAGGGGCAGCTGTGAGGATCTATCAGGATGGATAGATACGTGTCTTTCAAATCTAGGCGTGCAAACCGATCTCCTGGACGAAGGATATCCATCTTGAAATTACGGTACGCTGCAATGTTGTAGAGACGAGTCACGAAGCGGTGGAAGACTCCACTTTTTTTTTTTTTTTTTCGAACTAGGAAAATTTTCCTGAAGCATTTGCCCTCATCTGGGACATATTGCACAGCACCTTTCACGAATAGTCCTGACCTAATGTGTTTTACAGCCCACCTCCTATAGAATGTAAGCTCGATTGAGCAGGGTCCTCTTCAACCTATTGTTCCCGTAAGTTTTTTGTAATTGTCCTATTTATAGTTAAATCCTCCTCTCATAATATTGTAAAGCGCTACGGAATCTGTTGGTTCTATATAAATGATGATGATAATAATAATAGTGATCTCACTTTGTCGTCATAGATGAGGGATTGATGGTCCGCAGTTAGCAATCCGGTACCAGTGCTGAGTGGAACTCTATAATGTAGCGTTTTACTGTTTGTAGCACCCACCCATTTGAGGATTAATCCCTCCATCCGTGGAGAAATTTAGACAGTCTGCCTTCATGCAATAGACTGGCAAGGTATAAGAGAGCAAATGTCACCATTAGACAGTCTGACATGACTTCTTCTGTCTTTAACAGTTGGGAAGTGAAAGTCCGGGTCACAAAATTCTCACAAAATCTCAGAACTGCAATCAAAATAACCTAATGGTGGAAAAAATATATCTAAGTATTCTTGTAGTGTATATTTTTTTCCCAAGCGTAATGCATGCCCACCATAATAAGCAGCAGTGATAAGAATAGTAGCTAACACCTCTCTGCATCAGGCATCAAAAAAGAGAACATCTAAACGTTTGTTCTGGGATAGCTTCAAGCCATCCATGGGTCACGACCAGTCTGGGCCAGGAAGATGGATACTGTAGAGTCAAATTGCGGTCTCTGTGACCTTGTCTGGCAAGCAGGGTATCAGGCATTCAGTCAGGAGTCAGTTATGGACCTCTCTATCTAGAGGTCTGTGAAGCCAGGAGTGGACAAACTGTGCCAGATTATCTGGGAGTGACCACTCCGAGGAACTCTGGTGTCTGCTGGTTATCTGGTTAAGCAAAAGTTGTCCAGATGAATCCAGAAAAAAAAAATGTCTGAAAGGGTCATGATTGGAAGATAGAAACATAGAATGTGACGGCAGATAAGAACCATTCGGCCCATCTAGTCTGCCCAATTTTCTAAATACTTTCATTAGTCCCTAGCCTTATCTTATAGTTAGGATAGCCTTATGCCTATCCCACGCATGCTTAAACTCCTTTACTGTGTTAACCTCTACCACTTCAGCTGGAAGGCTATTCCATGCATCCACTACCCTCTCAGTAAAGTAATACTTCCTGATATTATTTTTAAACCTTTGTCCCTCTAATTTAAGACTATGTCCTCTTGTTGTGGTAGTTTTTCTTCTTTTAAATATAGTCTCCTCCTTTACTGTGTTGATTCCCTTTATATATTGAAATGTTTCTATCATATCCCCCCTGTCTCGTCTTTCCTCCAAGCTATACATGTTAAGATCCTTTAACCTTTCCTGGTAAGTTTTATCCCGCAATCCATGAACCAGTTTAGTAGCCCTTCTCTGAACCCTCTCTAAGGTATCAATATCCTTCTGAAGATACGGTCTCCAGTACTGTGTACAATACTCCAAGTGAGGTCTCACCAGTGTTCTGTACAATGGCATGAGCACTTCCCTCTTTCTACTGCTAATACCTCTCCCTATACAACCAAGCATTCTGCTAGCATTTCCTGCTGCTCTATTACATTGTCTGCCTACCTTTAAGTCATCAGAAATAATCACCCCTAAATCCCTTTCCTCATATGTTGAGATTAGGACTCTATCAAATATTCTGTACTCTGCCCTTGGGTTTTTACGTCCAAGATGCATTATCTTGCACTTATCCATATTAAATGTCAGTTGCCACAATTCTGACCATTTTTCTAGTTTACCTAAATCATTTGCCATTTGGCTTATCCCTCCTGGAACATCAACCCTGTTACATATCTTAGTATTATCAGCAAAAAGACATACCTTACCATCTAGACCTTCTGCAATATCACTAATAAAAATATTAAAGAGAATGGGCCCAAGTACAGATCCCTGAGGTACCCCACTGGTGACAAGTCCAAGCTTTGAATATATTCCATACAACCCTCTGTTGCCTGTCACTCAGCCACTGCCTTACCCATTCAACAATATTGGAATCCAAACTTAAAGATTGCAGTTTATTGATAAGCCTTCTATGTGCAACAGTGTCAAAAGCCTTACTGAAATCTAGGTAAGCAATGTCTACTGCACCACCCTGATCTATAATTTTAGTTACCCAATCAAAAAAATCAATAAGATTAATTTGGCATGATCTCCCTGAAGTAAATCCATGTTGTCTCTGATCTGGATGTGGAAGCCTTCCACGACCAATTCCCTGACATAGTGAATCATCGGGGTTCTCCCACATTGGCGGCGGCAGAGTGTCTAGTCTGCCACTCACCCAACTCAGGAAGAAGGGAATAGTCTTCCTCATCAGAGAGAAAACGTCTGTGTGTAAACTCTCTAGTTCCACTGCCCTTCTGAGGCGATTGGCTGGGCCTTCCCTTTGTGGGAGCGAGGTTCCGGTCAGACTATTTCCAATAGTGTTTAACGCCTTTTGTCGCCCTCTCACTGAGACATCAGACTCTGCAGAGTTGTCTGCAGAATGTGAGGTGTCTGGGATCCATTTGGGCTGGATGGCCTTTTTCTTATGTAGTGGTGGGAGTACTTTCACCAGAGGTGTTTTGTTTTTTGAAGAAAAAAAACTTCCCCCTCTCTTCCACTGATGCCTCCACCGTGGAATTAATTTACGCTTGCAAACTTGGTCTTGAGTTGGTGACTCACCCATGATTGTGTATAGTTAGGAGGCAACCGGGGAACCTATAGATTGGAAATATCTGATAAGGAAAAAACATCCTGACAATAACTAGTAACAGGCAGTAGCTCAATTTAAGTATAACCCAAAGTGTATGATTATGCAGGCTGTTGCTGCTTACAGTACCTGCATATCTGATGTTAAAGCTTCTTTAGTGTCTCTCCTTTATAATCTGTTGTATCAAGAAGTACAGCAAAGGTTTCCTGAAGTGGGAGCTCAGTCCTGGCACAGAAAGCCTTGAAATTGTACACAATGTACAGTTAAATTGGTAGATACAATATATGGACAAAAGTATTGGGACACCTGACCATTACACCAGAAGGGACATTTGACATTGCATTCTAAATGCATATATGTTAATATGTAGTTTGTCTCCCTTTTGCAGCCATAACAACTTTCACTTTTCTGGGAAGGCTTTCCACAAGATTTTGGGGTTTTTCTGTGTGAATTTTTGCCCATTTATTCAGTAGAGCATTTGTGAGATCAGGCACTGATGTTGGACAGGAATGCCTCAGCTTGCAATCTACATTCTAGTTCATCCCAATGGTTTTTGATGGGGTTGAGGTGAGGGATCAGTTCTTCCACACCAAACTCATCCAATCTTGTCTTTATGGACCTAGGTGAGTTTACGTTGTCTTCTGCTTTGTTGCTAAGTTGCCGCTTCCACTTTCCAATAATACCACTTACACTTGACTTTGGTATATCTAGCAGGGATGACCTTTCACAAACTTATTGCAAAGGTGGCATCCAATTATAATCCCTTTCTTGAATTCACTGAACACTTCTGAACGACCCATTTTTTCCACTCGTAAATAAAGGCTGCATATCTAGTTTGATTTTATAAACCTGTGGCAATGGGCCTGATTGAAACAACTGAATTCAATAATTAAGAGGTGCACCTAAATGAAATTCTGGGCCGAAAATCTAGGATGCACTTGGCCGAAAACCGAAAATGACTTTTTCCCCCAAATGATTTTAAAAAAGTGTTGTTAATATTAGACTTTTTAATGAATTTAATCTAATATGAAAAATCCCCCCCTGCTTAATGTTCCTCTCCCTCTCTTTTTTTTAGTGTTCTTTCCTCCCCCCTCCCGTGTCTCAGTGGTTTTTTTTTTTTCTCCCCCCTCTCCGTCCCATAGTGTTATTTTTGCCCCTCCCCTGTCCCATAGTGTTCTACCCCCCCCCTTCCCAAGTGCAGTATTCTTGACTTTTCATGTTATCATTACTATATTTCATTGTGATCTATAATCATCTGAATTGTTAATCCAAACATGTCTGTTAAACTATGCACTACAAAATAGGGATCGACCGATTATCGGTCTGGCCGATATTATCGGCCGATATTTGGTATTTTCGGCAATATCGGTATCGGCCAATTCAGATACCGATATTGCCGATAATATATAACAGGACCGCCGGGCCCATTACAAGCCCGGCGGTCCTGTGGGGGCCAGCAGCAAGCGCTGACTTACCTTGCAGCAGCTCCCTGTGTAAATCTCGCGAGACCCGCGGCCGCAGAGCGTTGCCACGGGTTACCATGGCAACGCTCCGCGCGGCACTAAGAGCCGCGAGATTTACACAGGGAGCTGTAGGAGCTGCTTGCAAGGTAAGTCAGCGCTTGCTGTTGCTGAGCCACCACTGTACTTAATAAGCCACTGGACCAGCAGGGAATACTATATCCCCCTCCCTGGTAAGAAGCAGGGAGGGGGGACTAAACAAACAATTTTTTTTTTAAATATTAAAAAAAATTACACAAATTACATCACTACACAAACACACACACACACTACACAGACACACACTAGGGGGGGACTAAACAAAAAAAAACATTTAAATATTAAAATAAAAAATTACACAAATTACATCACTACACTGCACACACACTGCACACACACTGCACACACACTGCACACATACTGCATTACATACACACACTACACACACACTGCACAATACTGCATTACATACACACACTACACACACACACTACACAAACACACACTACACACACACACACACTACACAAACACACACTACACACACTACACAAACACACACTGCGTTACATGCACACACACTGCGTTACATGCACACACACTGCGTTACATGCACACACACTGCGTTACATGCACACACACTACACAAACACTGCGTTACATGCACACACATACACACTACACAAACACACACACTGCATTACATACACACATACACACTGCATTATACACACACTGCATTATACACACACTGCATTATACACACACTGCATTATACACACACTGCATTATACACACACTGCATTATACACACACTGCATTATACACACACTGCATTATACACACACTGCATTACATATACACTGCATTACATATACACTGCATTACATATACACTGCATTACATATACACTGCATTATACACACACTGCATTCATTATACACACACTACACAAACACACACTCTGCATCCACTACACACACTACACAAACACACACAGTTCCCCTGTCTAAACACACTTCATCCACTACATGTGGCATGTATATTTTGTGCATTTACCTTTCGAATTAGTTTATTTATTCAAAATAGTAAATGTACAGAATATCGTCAAGATATCGGCTATCGGCCTGAAAGTTCGCAGATTATCGGTATCTGCTCTAAAAAATCAATATCGATCGATCCCTACTACAAAACCAATAAAATTATTTTTAATTTCGGCAAATTTGACCCATTTACGGCCGACTATTTCGGCGCATCCATAGTGTCCCAGTACCTTTTGTCCTATAGTGTATACAGCTGTGTAGCTCTTTATGTAGACTTGTGACTCTCATGTTTTTAGTATCTGCAAAGAGCCAGTGCTCTTGCTTGATCTGCAGTATGACCCACAGTAGGAATTGTTGAGCTTCTTTAGCGAGACCTTCCTTTAATATCCCTTTTCTTCTCTATTAGAGGCACTGTTTTCTGAGATTTTTTTTTAACCTAGATGTCTAGCCTAGGGTATGATTTTTATAATTACAAACTGTCTTCAAGTGATATTCATTACATTTGTTTCCACCAATAAATGCAATGTCTTCATGCCTATATTAATTAAGGAAAGTGGGTTTATATCTGCTGCTCTAGATACAAAAAAAAAGGAAAAAGATGGCCTTGAAAACTGCCATCCTCACCAGATCGGCTTTACTCAATTTAGGTTTGGTGTAATATACACTTCCTATAGAGCTTAAAATGACTGTCACCTTCCTGGGTCTATGCTTATTTTGTAAATGCCCCTGAAAGAGACCTTGCTGCTTGGTGTGCATTGGCTGGGGGTGTCAGTGGAGATGGGCTGATCTTCAGCTCCTGGTGATTCTTCTGCCAGGAGCTCACTTCAGTGATGTTCTCTTTCCATATGTATTAAGAAAATGACACTGATGTCTTTTGAAGGAGACCACAGAAGCCTCCATGGATAGTCTTGCAAGGAGTAAGAAAATGCCTTATAACCACAGCCTGTGCTAGGGTCAGCTGTGAAAAGTGGCAAAACATATGATGGCAATAGCTCAACCTTTTAACATGTTTTGTTAACGTAGAGACCGTCTTTGTCATCCAGAATTTATTTTTGAGCATTTTACAGAGTGGCCAACTTGGTAACATCGCGATCACATGACTCTGATCGATGGGATTAACAGATTGGTTGCAGGGGGACTGCCTGGGTTGTCAACCAGATCCCCAACATTTCATTAAAGGACCACTATAGTGCCCCCACCCTCAGGGACCCCCTCCCGTCCAGCTCTGGAAAGGGGAAAGGGGGTAAAACGTACCTTTTTCCAGCGCTGGGCGGGGAGCTCTCCGCCTCCGATCCGCCCCGTCGGCTGAATGCGCACGCGCGGCAAGAGCTGCGCACGCATTCAGCCGGTCGCATAGGAAAGCATTATCAATGCTTTCCTATGGACGCTGGCGTGCTCTCACTGTGAAAATCACAGTGAGAAGCATGCAAGCGCCTCCAGCGGCTGTCAATGAGACAGCCGCTAGAGGCTTTGGGGGAAGGCTTAACCCATTGATAAACATAGCAGTTTCTCTGAAACTGCTATGTTTTATAAAACAATGGGTTAACCTTAGCTGGACCTGGCACCCAGACCACTTCATTAAGCTGAAGTGGTCTGGGTGCCTAGAGTGGTCCTTTAATAACATTTCTTAATTATACATTAATCTATACATACATTTAAAATTAAATTATATAGATGTGTGTGTGTATATATTTATTTGTGTGAGTGTTTATGCGTACTCATAATAGTTTGATTCCTGTGTTTTTTTTTGTTTTGTTTTTTCAAGACCTGCCTGATTACAAGCTCTTTAACATCCTGTAACTTTTCAAAACCCCATAAAACTTTTACAGGGGAGATACTGTTGTACTTTTGAGACTTCGCTGAACAAAACATATGTTTAGAACAGTAACAAGTATAGTGACGACGATATCAGTGAAAGTGCAGCATTTGTGTGAAAAATTGCTAAAAGCAAACATAAACATAATTTGGCCAGTGTTTGTGACTAAGTGGATTCTAAAAATAGACTGGACATATGGACATAACCCATTTTGAATACCCTGGGTTGTCTACTTTTGCAGACAGTGTGCCATTCCTGGGCTGCCATACGGTCTCATAGGCAGCATAAATCCAGCAAGCCAATCTGGCAAATTTCATTGTGTAAAAACATAATCACCATATTTGACCCTGTAACTTTCCAAAACTCCATGAAACCTGTACACGGGGACATCGTTGTACTCGTGGGACACCACAACATACATATGTTTTTTATTGCAGTAAAAGCTAACAGAGTATTTTGATCAAAGTAAAAATGCCACACTGTGCAGCAATGCCCCAGGAAGCACCTCCCAGTGGCGACTGGAGGTGTCGCTAGGGGGCAATGTAAAATGGCGGTAATGATTATACTCCCCAAAACGACTACATTAAGCTGCAGTTGTTCTGGTTACTATAGTGTCCCTTTAATTTCTCACACATTTTTAGATTCTCCTGAACAGAATGATATATGTGTGGGTACACTTAATATGAAAGGGATAAATTATGGTTCAAAAGATGTATCGCTCAAATGCTAGGTTTTGTTTTGGCTCGTAACGTGTGCAGTTGCCTCTGTCCTTTTAAATTTCAGTTATCTGATTTACTGTCAAGTATATAGGTCTGTTTGGGTATTCCACTTCTTTTTTTAAAATACGCTTTATTACATAAGTGTTCTGACTGTTCAAATTATTACTTATCACTACTGAGTGCCAAAAACCCTGCCAAATCTTTCTTTGGGTTGGTTTTTACATTTTTTCTTTCTTTCTTTTGGTCTGATTAATTGTAAGATATTCTTCTGTTTATGCTTTGTATATACAACCAACCAAAAGGTATAAAGAGATCATTGTTTAGAGTTTTTGCTCTAGCAGGAAAAAAAAAATCATATCTTTGGTGTTTCATGCATGTACACTATTGTGGAAAAAGAACCATTTTGTATAAGCTATGCTGCCACTTTTTTCATGTAATTCATATATTTGTAATGGTGTAATCTATACACTGTGTATACTAACCTGGAGTTTGTCTCCTTCATCCACCATAAATGCAGATATGGGTGTGAACACATGCTTCCCGATTTCTCTTAACACAACTTAGTGTGGCATCACATGGTCCAGTTTAAGCATTGTGGGGCATATGATCAGGGGAGCCTTGAGAATTCTATACATTTCAGATTTATTAAGGTCCATTCTTAAAATGGACCTTAGGAAGCACTTATGAACCTTTTTACTGATTGTTTTTGTTTTTTCTTTCTTCTTCCCCCTTTTTTTAGTTCTACCTCCTGTATTAGTGCCACGACATACAGAGATCTTAACAGAATTACCACCACTTGATGACTACACGCATTCCATTCCGGAAAACACTAACTTTCCTGCAGGGATTGAACCGCAGAGCAATTATATACCAGGTAAATTTACTGTAGTTAACACGGTGTCATTGAAACTGTCATCTTAAAGGAACAGTAAACAATTTCAAGGGCACCCGATCTAAGAGAATTGATGATATGCTCTTATGGTGTCTGCTGGTCATCACTGAAGCCACTAGAGACTAGCAAACCAAGTCTCCAAATACACACTCGAAACAGTTCCTGTACTTCTGGTAGGCATCTGAAGAGTGGCCACTGGAAGTATCCCTAGGCTGTAATGTAAATACTGCCTTTTCTCTGCACAAAGCCTGCAAGGACTGACTATACTCACCAGAACTACATTAAGCTGTAGTTGTTCTGGTGACTACAGTGTCCATTTAAGAATTGCATTTTTCTGGTTGATGATGAAAATTTGTAAAAACTGGCTCCTAACTTTTTTAGCTGGCTCCTTGATTCCAAATAATTTTGTCAAGCCCTGGTGTATATAAATAAACTTAGAATTACATTATTTTTTAATTCACTTTTTTTTCACTTCTAAATGTTGTGGGACCTGCCTTATAAAAGGCAGAAATTGCAGAGAATTTAATTTGCAAGCTCTTTGACACCCTGTAACTTTTCAAAACCCCATAGAACTTGTACCGGGGAGATACTGTTGTACTTGTGAGACTTTGCACAAATATGAGTGTTTTAGAGCAGTACAGCATATATAGTGCCGTGTTGCGTGTTTTTTCCTGTGCTAAACTGAAGATGATGGAGGCATAAGCACATACAGTACCCATCAGGAGTTTGTGTTCTGAGTAGAGTTTTAAACCCAAAGTGATGTAAAACTAATTTGGTTTATTAATGCCAGTGATGGGGGAGAAATAAAGGTTTTTAAAGTGCTGTCATATTCTTCACCAATGTTACACAGCTAGAAGCACTTTACTATATCGGTGACCTTGTACATAACAATTTGAGTCTCCTTCCCTTTTACAGCTTTGCAGCACTTTTTTTTTCTTCTTTCTTCTTCTTCAGAACACATCACTTTCATAAATCACTCCCAATCAATTTAGGTTAAAATAGTTTTTTTAAGCATGTTTTATTTGTTCAGTGCTGCAGAATATGCTAGGGGTTTATATAAAAATTAAGAGCTGTACGAATAATACATGATCTACCTGTCTCGACCCATCTATAATCTGTATAATATGTTTGTTTTCAAATGTAATATGTAAATTCCAAATACAGCAGTATGCTTACTAAATAGGGCCGTATGTACAGTTTCACTTTGATTATGGAAGGGTCTTCATGTTATGGAGCAATCTGATGTAATAAAAGCAGCACTGTCTCCGCCTCGGGACTTTCCATAACATGCAAAGCCACTGACCGTGACAATGCCACTAGGAGAAGGCTGGCTGGGTTGGGGCAGGTGTCACAAACGTGGACTATTGGCCCAGCTGAGACAGTGGGGGAGAGAGTGGAAGTGAAAGGATTAACGACACCAGACCCCTGGTTACCTGTTACTAGTCACAGCAACCACTAAATTAACCCCTGCAATCCCTTCTACACTAACACTATTACACACTTTACTGCCACCACCAAGTATTTATATCCGGGTGTCTTAGGTTACCCCACACACAGGAGAAATATAGTATCACAACCTTACGTTACTGATCAGACATATATAACGTGCTTACCTGAGCTTTACTCAGGAAAGTGAGCTCCTAGAGAACAAAGACACAAGCTAATTAAGTAAACATTTAATCTGACAAAAATGATTCACAGTGCTGTGTAAAAAAAGACAGAAATAAATAACATACAGAAACACAGATCCAAAATTGCAACACAGTCCATAAAATAGGAGAAAAAACAAATCTTTACATATAGTTACCCCTTATATATAATTTTTGTGTAAGATTCAGATGTTACAGATCTCCAAGTAGTTGTTGGGTAAAATACTTCCCCTGGATAATGCTCATTATATATCTGAAACTAGTTGTTTCTAAGTGGGTGGATCAGAGGGGTTTGGCCTGGCAATTTATTGTCCACTCCATATTTTCTTAAATTATGTTGTTCTTTGAATAACACAAAGTCAGAGCATACTCACCAATACTTTTTATGACACTATGTCCAGCTCTGGTGATGGTTATCTAGTCGTTACATTTTATGGCTTAGGCCTGGGGTTGGATCCAAGCCTACAATAAATGTTATCCCAACATGTACAACAACTCTTAACATATATCAAATGCCAGCTCATGCTTTGACATGCCAGCAGGCAAAAGTGAGTTCAACTTACCTGAACTTGTCCCTACAGTCTGGTAGAAAGAGTCTATTTCCTGCAGCCGTGGTGACATCTGGGGTATTGACACTTCTAGGTGACGGTAGCTCCGCCCAGTATCCAGAAGTGTCGGGCATAGGAAACCTACTGAGACAAAGTAGCCCCTACTTTGTCTCAGTATATCTTTTAACTGGGTTGGAATTTCAGTGAAATTCTAACACAGTCAATGTGAATAATTCATAAAGATTTTAACTTGCCTCCTTACCTTCCCCTTTGCTCCAGAACTGGAGTTCAATCTGCAAGAAAATGCCTTCCCTGCCAAGGCGCATTATTCTTTCCTTTTACATCTCTAGTGCTCCCCACAATACTGCAACAACATTTGTAGTTCATGTCTGCATTCCAGGACACTTATAGAGCGTCTTAACATTGTTATGGTGTATCCGGGACATTCTAAAAAATAAAAAAATTCTCACTCTATATATCAATATCAAATATCAGTTTATTTCTGTATGATACTTGCCTTGTATAGCAAGTATGAATCTATTAATCTGCATACATTTTTGTTTCCCTAGAAACTCCACCTCCTGGATACATTAGTGAAGATGGAGAAACTAGTGACCAGCAAATTAACCAAAGCATGGACACAGGTAAAGTTTTTGACCAATGTATTCTCATTAGAGCAGTAGTTCTTAACTGTTGGGTTGGCACCCAAGGATGGGATCCATGTGCCATCTTAATTGGAGCACTTGGTTGAGGCATCATCTACATCAATCCTCAAACTATTGTTGTTTCCTGTAACAGCTTTGCTTTCCCCTGAGTGGTAGATTCCCTTTGAGGGACTGTATGTGAGGTTTAGTTTATAGTTCTATATTTTTGCCATTGAACAATGGCTTACTATGCCAATGCCTGGTCAATATAAAGAATTGTTGCATTTGGATGGTATATTCTTGTGTTGGTTATAAAAATAACCTGCTGAACTCACTTGGCCGCAAGTGTCTAATAACCTTGTCCCAGGTGCATTATTTCATAAGTTTCTGATAAAGGGTTTCATGACCTTCACAGAAGTATCTGCTGCAAATTTAGTTTTCCAGCAGCATTGATGTTGACTGACGAACCTTTAGTTTGGAAACTGATTTTATTTTGGTTCAGGACATCCTGAAAGTGTCCCTATTGCTGATGGCAAGAGCTGGAGGTAGGGCCGGGTCAGCAAGACTTTTTTTTTTTTGTAAAGAGTGAGAATAGTAGAGCGGCTATAAATGCAGCTGTTAAGTTGAATATCTTAATTCTAGCTTTTCATAGCTGTGGTAAATGTTTGTTTCGTTTAAGTGGTACAAGCACTTTGAATGTTGGTTTGGTTTTATTTACAGTATAATTCTTTATGTATGTTTTACAGCAATGCATATTTCCAGTTAACATTGCTGTGTGTTTATAGTGATCATACATTCAATACAGAAAGGGATTTGGAGGGTGTACTGTATGTGCCATGTGTTAAGGTGTTTTGTTAGACAAGTGTACTGTTTGAGTTCAAGGTTAAGTTGTAGGTCATATAAAATATTCTTTAATATAAATCTGAGAGCAACTCAACATTACAATAGGGAATTTCTTTGGTTTTAAAAATTGGAAGAATTTGTTTGGAATTCCATCGATCTCAGTCTCTTACGGGAAAACCCTAAGCATTCTTAATTATTTAAAAATTATACATGCATTGTATCTACTGTGTGTGTGATTTTTGTAATGCGTTCTTATAAGTCAGTAACTACTCTGATTGCATATCCTGGATCGCTCCTTCTCTATGGGGCCATCTGGAATTCCGCTTTGTTTGAATGCGCTGCCTTTTGACCAAGAAAGAGGCAGATCATGAAGAAGAGCTAGATATTTTCAAGATCCCTGACATAATGGGGCTGGGCAGCTCAAAAAATATTTTTACAGTTTCAAACTTGAGTAAGTTGTGGTTCTGGCCATAGAGGACATAAGATTACTGCAATCACAAAGCAAGGATAAGCCAAGAGATGCACTAAAAAGTGGTATTAACAATAATCTGTAAAGATGATATATTGCAAATCTTTTAAGTATAAAAAATATAAAGTTAACTTTTCTCATTTAACTCCATATGGCTGCTTAGCAATTCACAAATGTTTTTATCATTTCCAGGTTGGTGTATTTTAGTTGTCTAACTTGTGAGATATCAGGACCTAGTCAGCAGACACCTTAGACTTCTTGGACAATAGAGACCAGCTGATTGATCTTTTTCTTGTATTGCACAGGGTCACCAGCGGAACTTTCTCCTAGTACACTTTCTCCAGTCAATCATGGTCTTGGTGAGTGTATATCACAGTATTCACTTGTAATCTCCATGTGTTGTCATTAAAGGACCACTCTAATGCCATAATGCCTCCAAAGCTTCAGTTGCCATTCTCAGACAATAAATACTGTTTACACTTTGTATGAGTTTTTGTGATCATGGAGAAGTATGCGCTTCCGCTTTGTGAGACCAGAAAGACTGCTTGTGCCCAACACTGTAAGGTAGATGTCAAACTGTTTGTTTGTGAACAGGTTGACAAATTACCTACAGATGGAGACTGTGGACTCCTGATCCCATAAGCACTATAATATGCTGTAGTGGTTGTGAAATGTAGCTTTCTTTTCATTTCAGGACTTTACACTTTTCAAATTTTATTTTTTTATTCTTTATTATGATGGTACATAGCAAAGATATTATCAGTACAGTGCAGGTACATCTGACATTGGCAGTAGAAGTGTGCATTAACAAAGCTATAACAAAGCACTTTTTAAATTTTTATATATATATCTATCACAATAACAGGATTTAACAATTTGAGCTCATCTGAGAGGAGTTGTAGGTGGTAAGTATTAGATGAGCGTAGGCTCTCAGGTGCTCCCATGTGGTGGGTAAGAGATATGTTCGAGGGTCTGTGTCGAGGATAGTAGTGGGATGGTGTATGAATGTTTTTAGAGAGATGCGTGAGTTCTCCCGTTTTATGGGATATCGATTGCCTAGAGGCTTGGAAAGAGGATTGTGTGGGTGAGATTTGCTTGGCGCAAAACAGCAAAGCTTATGGGGAGATATGTCTCCTTATCGTTATGATACCCCTAACCCAGTCCCCGAGTGTTGTCTGGTGTCAGCTGTCTGTGAGTCTCCGGCTCTCGGGACGAAGGGGGTGATGCGGGCATGGTCCCAGGTGGTCGACTGTGGTTCCTTATTACTTTCTGCCAGTCCCAGTGCTTTTTAGAAAGGCCGGTGCCCCTTTGATCGACGTGAGTGTATGATTAGTTCCGTTGTGGGTTACCACAAGAGTAACTGGAGCTCCCCAGCGGTAGGTTATGGTTGCAGATCTTAGTTGAGAGATGACTGACCCCAGTGATTTCCACCAGACAAGAGTGCTTTTTGTGAGGTCTTGGTAAAAGGTTAATGATGAGACTTTAAAAGTCAGTGGTGCCCTATTCCTCAATGCCATCATGATCTGGTTTTTGTCTTGCGAGGTTAAGCAGCGAAGGAGGACGTCTCGTGCTTGATGTTTTAAGTGCACCCGTGATGCGATAAACTCAGTCAATGACCACTTTTTGGCGGCTGTGTGGGCTAATATAGAGGAAAGTAATCTGCGGGTATAGTGCGGGATTTCTGTTGTCACGTCAGTAGGGATGCCACGTATTTTAATGTGGTTCCTGCGCTGTCTGTCTTCCAGGGCCGAGATTTGGTGAGCCATGGTGACTTGGTGTGTTTGGAGTTGTTGCACTGTCTCTTTAAGGGCTGAGATTTCAGTTCTGGCATTGAGTATGTCCTCTTCCGAGGC